AATCATGAAACCAGAACAGAAAGCTCCTGCTGGCTTGATGGGCATGATGCCCGTACCTTCAAAACCATGGCAAGTGGTTTCCACCTATTTTATGGAACCATTTACACCTTCCTCAAAACAGAATAGGTATTTGTTGGTGGTAACTGATTATCTTACCAAATTAACCCTGCTTTTTCCATTAAGACAGGTGACAGCACAGGTAGTAACAAGATACTTGGAGAACAACGTGTTTCTGATGTTTGGATTAACTTAAAATAGCATTTTTTCATGTATGAACACCAACAAATCTATATATATATATATGAGAACACTGGTACAGTTGATAAAGACATTACAGTTAACTTCATACTTTCCAAGAGTTTTCTTGTTTTCCAGAACTGACACTCTTTCTAAAACTAGTGAAGTGAGGAAATGTATTACCCCTGCACAAAATATTTATTGAGACAGCCGTAGATAATAATAAAACAACAAGTTATTGTAAGGTAACAGCAGTGTTACCTCCTATTGACTACCTTCGACTGGAGTGGAGAAAAGAACTTTCTCAATAAAAAATTCTTTTTAGATTTTAGTCTACCTCCTAAATATTGGTAAAATAATTTGAACCAAGAAATTTCATTTCATTATATTTTATTTAGGTAGAAATATAATAACAACATTTTCTATCAGTTAAATTCAAGTTGTAATGAGTGTAAAGAAGAGTTTTGGGAATAAGGAAGGGACTTATATCTCCACCAAATGTTCCCGTATTGTTGAAGAGAGGTTTAAGGAATGGACTTTGATCTCAGGCAGTTACGGACAGTAAGGGAATAGTCTAAGTGTTAGGAATGTCTATGCATACCACCATTACAGTATGGTTACCTCTTAACTAGACCGAACAAAGACCTAAAGTCAAAACGTTGTGTTTCCTCAATACCCCTTATTTGAGGATTCATTGACACGACTAACTATATTTTGACAAAAACATAAAATTTCCTCCAAACTGCAAGATAAAATATAAACATAGTTGGTTTAAGAGTTTTATACATTAAAATAAAAAAATCGATAACAGGTACAAAACTAACAGAAAAAACAAAAATAAGCGATCAGTGAATGACACAATCCATAAAGATTGAAGTCTGTTATGTTACATATAAGCAGCTATCTTTTGAATTTATTTAGGGGTGGAAATACAGTTGCTCGATTCTCATAATACTAGTAGGAAGGTAATAGGAAAGTGAATGGGGGAAATCTCAGGAATATCAAATGTGAATCGGAAATAATTCCATGATGGAGATCAGTGGAATATTTGGGTCTTCAGACATCTTGGACAAAAATACGTCAATCACAGAAACTTTGGCCAACCTTGTTGTGACATAGGTGTCCAGTAAATTATGGGAAATATCTAAGGAGGTGATAATAGACTTCGAAGCAAAAAACAAAAAAATCATCTGGACCAGTCTTTATTTTTGAGTTAGATATTGTTTTTTTTTTTAACAGGAAATGATAACTAAAAAAAATAAAATAATAACAATGTTAAAACCATTAATGGGATCCCAATTACTTCAAGGCCAGTATTCCATATAATCATGGATTATTCATTGAACTAAGGATTTAAAAACAAATTAATTAAGTTAAGTTTTGTTACAGAATAATCAGAGATTTACCTTGTGAAAAAAATAATATATATATGATGTGGAATTCTGTATCCTTAAAGAAATAGTATTTTCAGCCAATTTAATTAAAACAGATTATTACAATGCTTTTATTTATTTATTTTTTGTGGTCTGGGATGAGTTCAATAAATTAATTACTAAAATATAATTTATATTTATAGAAAAAAAATGCAAAAACATCCAGGTTTCTCAAAAAATAAATCTCAAAAAATGATAGTGCACCTATCTTAATGATGGGAATTGATCCTTATAATATAAGGAGAAAACCTAAATGTCGTTATCTTCTAATTCTAATCTGTATGTTTTAATGAAAATAATTGAAGAATTAGAAAGTTTAATTTTTTTTAGAAATTAACGTAGTAATATGGCTACTACTACCTTGTTGTTTATGTCCTTAGTAATGGATAGTGCAACTGGAAGCAGCATTGAAGTGTTTGTAAATTTAAGGAAGAAACCTTTAATTCTGAAGGAGAATATTTTTAAGAATGCAAGAACTGACATTTACATCGGCTATTTAATTTCAGAAAAATTGATAATTGACAAATGAAAATCCTCATGCTACAAGACAGAGGGTGTCTTGTCAACTACAAAACAAATTAATCAACTACTTGTTACTATTTAACATTTCAATAAAAATGAAACCTGCCTATTCCTTTAATTATTTGTATGCAATATTAGAAGTACTTTTAGAAGATAGAAATATCTAATTAATCACCTAATACCATAAGGATCAATTCCCATAATTAAGTTATGTCTAAAATGCAGTGGTGCACATCAATTTTAGTGATAATTTTTATATTTCTTTATTTTTACTTTCTTGTATTTGTGCGAGAGGTGAAGAAAATGTTTGTGTTTAAAATAGAAAATTTCCACTTGTGTCTTAATATCAAAAGCTGTTGGTTAGATTTGGCCCAAATTTGGAGAGTAGTAGTCAGCTAGTGTCAGTTTGCCAATTTCATCCCAATGTCATCAAAATTTTTCAAAATTTCATTTTATTTATAAATTGCTTGTACCCTTGATCACAATGTTGCTGGCTTATGTGGGTTGTTCAAAAAACATGAACTTTTAATTATTCCCCTTGTAAAATACTAATAACTAATGCTGTAATATATTGAGAATACGTAGTCTATTATGAGCATTTATTTAATATATAATTTAAAATATTCAATTTATTTATTTATTAATTGTTTGTTGATTGCTTGATTCAAGAACAATAACTTTTAAATATTCTTGGTGTGAATCAATTAAATTCATACTGTTATTTTTAATGATTATCTATTACAATTACGTTGAATGATACAATGTTTATGATAGTCCCTGAGTTAGTTAACCTTTATATATTTAATTTTAAGAATAATGGCAATATTACTTCACACCTGTAATTACGTCAATTGGAATATCGGACTTGGTTTTGAATTGCATAAATTAATGGTAATCTTGAAAAAATACTAAGTTCTAACAGATTTTATCTTTAGTATCACATTAGAAGAACTCTTCCAGCATGGAGATAGAATGAATGAATAGTACCATCAATAAGGACTACAGAGAGTGCTTGCAATCTTTACTTCAGGGTTACGAAAGTTGGTCTCATCAAGAATTACATATCTTTTGTTTGGCACAACCCTGGCTTTGAGTTTGAATAGCCTTTCAGTTTTGTCAGACATAGAGAGTACTTGCAATCTTTACTTCAGGATTACGAAAGTTGGTCTCATCAGGAATTGCATATCCTTGGTATGGCACAACCCTGGCTTTGAGTTTGAATAGCCTTTCGGTTTTTGTGTGCATGAAACTCTCAGCCTCTTTCACTTGTAGCTTCAGAGCCTCCACAGGAAGAGAACATGGTGGAATGAATAACGCGAAAGCACAATAAAAAAAGAGACTGGAAGCAAAGAAAAACATAGAACCAGAACAAAATTGCAGAAAATCTAGAGGGATACAAAAGAGAAAGAAAAATCACACATAAAAATATGAGGGAGGTAAGAAGGAAATTCCATAACGACCAATTGGGAAAGATGGAGAAAAACTTCAGGACATCTTAGACGTCAGGATAAAAGAGAAAATACCAGAAGACTGGCAAACAGCACTAATAGAAGCTCTACATAAAAAGGAGCAAGTAAACAATTACAGAGGAATTTCACTGTTACCAGTAACAAATTTTTCTCAAAAGCCCTACTAAACAGACTAGAACCACAAATAGACCCGGAAGTTGGAGAATACCAGGGAGGCTTCAGGAAAGGAAGATCTTGCCAAGAACAGATCCTAAGCCTTAAATTACTGATAAGATATTACATGGTGAGACCCAAAATCCTCTACATCTCCTTTGTTGACTTCAAGAAAGCCTATGATTCTGATTTTTGGGCCAGGGGGCAAGGGAGGGGATTAATGCCAGAGTTAAAATTCCCTAGCACTGGGACGCGAACTTGTACTTAATCTTTGAAAAATGTAGCTAATCCATAATTTAATCCACATATCTTTAATTGTTAATTCAGATTTTGTTCACACTAATTCAAAGTCAAACAAATTAGACTGTGTAATGCAAAGAGATTCCAATTAATTGACCTTTAATCTGTTCTAATTAATCTGGTAGCAACATAGAATTTCAATAGATTCAAAACTTCCAATGGTGACACTAGAGGGTGATTATTGTAATATAAAAACAACCACTTAAGTATTAACAGCCAAACATAATAGAATAATTACAAATGAAGTTTTAATATATGTTTGGATAATAAATAAATGATAGAACTAAAAGCTTTTAATTAGTAAAAAAAACCTTTTTCAATTCTACTAAAGAAAATTTTACCAGGGTAATAATTAATAATTCTTAATTGAAAAAAAATCTAATCATTCCTGGTAACATGAATACAAATTTCTTATATTGAAATACATACCCTTTGCCTTCGCCATTGAAGGTATTTTAAGAACTATAGGATAATCGTATTCCCTTGAATCTTGTTAATAAACAAGTAAACCAACATATGAAAAAAATAAAAGGAGTGAGTTGACAAATAATTAAGAAATAATTTTCTATGGTATTATTTATTTTGATTTTATATAAATAAATAATAGGTGAATATAAAACAAAACATAATGGCACTAGTTCCACATGAGAAATATGAACAAAATCCTTAATTATAAAAATTAACACGGACCAACGATGAATTAACAGGATGATCAGATTTTCAGTTTGAATAATTAATTATAACATATAGTAATGAATCGTAAGATATTTGTCACCATAATTTTAAAACAGAGCTCCCCATTATAGCACAGAAAAATAACAAGTTTATTATTAACTATCTTAGATTTTATTAGGAAAATGAAGAAATGAAATTCATAAAAAAATACCTGAAAGGCTGATGAAGAGGAATAGCTTGAGGAGGCCATGGTTTGGCAATCATATGTTGGTCTCTAGAAGAATGGGCAGCAGGTGGTTGAACACGATGATATTCTCTGGTAGGATCAGACCTCTTGTGCCCCAGTAGAACTCTCTTTTCATTGCTGGTAAAGTAACAAACAATAAATTATTGAAATTAAAATTAAACTAACTGTTGGATTTACATCCGTTTTGATGTAACTCAATTATTGATTGAGGGCCCCCCAATATTATACACTAACTGTTTTAAATACTAGTTAATAAAAAAGAAAAAAGTACTCAATAATATAATATACAGAGGATCCTAAAATTTAAGCACACATTAAATATTATCAATTTGTATATACCGCAATCACACTTAATGGTGGTTCTCTTGCTTCTTAACTGGTTACTACCAGTCATTGTACCCAATAAAACTCCCTCTGGTTCTTGACCCCTGTAAGTATACTTTTCTTAGGGTTCCTTGTTCCCTACCCTTTTCTCCTTCATCAATGACTTCCCACTTCCACCCCCCCCTCCCTGTAGATTTAATACCTGGATCCCTAGTCCCCAAGTTAACTTTGCTGCAGTAGTGAGGGCATTTATCGTCTTCAGGGATCTATTAACTACCATATCTGTGTGAGTTTTCCAATCCAGCCTTCGGTCGAATATCAATCCTAGATTATTCATTATTTCCATCAGTTCTATTGTTTTGGAATAAAGTCTAATGTTCAACTTAGGAAATTTCTGCTTCCGTGTAAACAGCATGTATTTTGTCTTGTCTGTGTTAAATTCTAGTTAGTTAAGCTGTAGCCCATCTTTTTTAGATGATAAGAGATTGGTTTATCAGAACTTGTAATTTTGGTAATAGCTTGTCTTTTACTAGAAGGATATCGTCGGCATAAGCTTAGATGTGTACTCCATCAGGCAATTTTGAATTAAAAATTGTATTGAGAAGAACGTTCCATAGTGTAGGGGAAAGACATGAGCCTTGTGGTACACCAGTTGTTAGGTGTTTTTTAAATGTGTAATTATTTGTCCTAATTTCAATCGTCCTGTCTTTGAAAAAATTTGAAATCAATAAAAAGATATTTTTTGGACAATTGTATTTTCTGAGGTTTTCTAATATAATTGGTGTCCATGCATTGTTGAAAGCTCCAACAATGTCTAGTTTGAGCATAATGCAATTATATTTTGTTTCCAGGGCACTTTCAATGTAAGTGTTTGCATTAAACAGAGCATCTATTGTACTTTTTTTGTGGTCTAAATCCAAACTGATTAGAATGCAATATTAGGTTAAATGTCAAGTAGTGTGTCTAGTAACTCCAATAGACGAAGTCTCTGCTGAGATAAGGAAAAAGCTGGTGGCAGCAAATAGGGCATATTTTGCCTTACAGAAAACAAGTTGGGGTGGTCATGTCACAAGGATGAAAGTGGAAGAAATTCCGAGAAAAGTAGTGGACACCGTCCTTCATGGTACACAACAACGGCCTGGTAGGCCAAGGCTTCAATGGGTTGATGGAGTGGCAGCGGACGCACGGAGCCTGCTACGGATCAGAAGCTGGAAAGCGGCAGCACAAAATTGGGCCAAATGGCAGCGGATCATTGAGGAGGCCAAGACCCACCCAGGGTTGTAGCACCACTTAGATAGATAGTGTGTTAGTCTATTATTGATTAATTTGTCTAGGACTTTGCTCATGATTGGTAGAATCGTTATTGTTCGTAATTTGTTAGAATCTTGTTTGGGTATTATGTGTAGTAACCTTTTTTCCAGGTTGCTGGTATGATGGACTGTTTCCATATAAGTTAGTTGGTAAATATAGCATTTCCAAGTCAATTTCAACCTTTTCCAAGTCAAATTCAACCTTTTCCAAATCAAATTAAACTTTTTCCAAGTCAAATTCAACCTTTTCCATTTCAAATTAAACCTTTTCCATTTCAAATTCAACCTTTTTTTATTTATTTAATTATCTTTAATTTTTCGATGTGTGGGTCTGTTATCGTATCGTATGAGTAGTTTTTGAAAATAACCTCCTTTTTAAGATTACGTGACTGAGTTTCGAATTATTTAAGTTTTTTTGAATTATTCGATATAAGGGTGTATTTTTATGTTTCCCGATCAGTAAATTTTGAAAATGACATCCATTTTATGTTTACGCCACTGTGTTTTGATTTATTTAAGTTTTTAGAATTTATCCATTATAAAAGGTCTACTTTTATGTTTCTGGAGCCGTAGATTTTGAAAACGACCTCCATTTTAAGATTAGGCCACCGCGTTTAGACTTATTTGAGTTTTTCGGATATTTTTCATATGAGGGTGTATTTTTATGTTTCCGGAGCTGTAGATTTTGAAAATGACCTCCATTTTAAGATTAGGCCACCGCGTTTCGACTTATTTGAGTTTTTCGGATATTTTTCATATGAGGGTGTATTTTTATGTTTCCGGAGCTGTAGATTTTGAAAATGACTTCCATTTTAAGATTACGCCACTGCGTTTCGACTTATTTAAGTTTTTTTTATTTATTCGATGTAAGGGTGTATTTTTATGTTTCCGGAGCTGTATATATTGAAAATGACCTCCATTTTAAGATTACGCCACTGCGTTTCGACTTATTTAAGTTTTTTTGATTTATTCGATGTAAGGGTGTATTTTTATGTTTCCAGAGCTGTAGATTTTGAAAATGACCTCCATTTTATGATTACGGCGCTGCGTTTTGACTTATTTAAGTTTTTCGAATTTATCCAATATTAAAGTCTACTTTTATGTTTCTTGAGCCATAGATTTTGAAAATAACCTCCATTTCATGATTACGCCATTGCATTTTGACTTTTTTATGTTTTTCGAATTTATCCAATTTAAAGGTCTACTTTTATGTTTTCGGAACCGTAGATTCTGAAAATGACCTCTATTTTATGATTATGCCACTGCGTTTCAACTTATTTAAGTTTTTAGAATTTAACAAGTGTAAAGGTCTAATTTTATGTTTCTGGAGCAGTAGATTTTCCCCATTTTATAAATGACCCAATTTCAAGTTTATGCCACTGTGTTTTGGATTATAAAAGTTTTTTTTTTTTACTTTTTCGGTATAAGGATCTACTTATGTTATCCGAGACGTATTGAAATTTTTCTAATCTTTAATATTTAAATTTATCAAATATTTAAGCTCCATTTTATGATTAAGCCGCTGCATCTCGAATAATTAGGCTTCATTTTGGATTTTTTCAATACAAAGTTTCATCAATATGTTTTCGAGTATGAATAAATAAATAAATATTATGAATCTAAAGTTAAATTAACCACAGAATACAAACTAAAAATCCGAAAAGCAGCTGGTAATAAATTTAACCTTCCGTATTCAGATTTTTCAGCTAGTTGTTCGAAATGTTATAATTTTGTGACAGGAGACCACAACATTAAAAAAGATAACTAAAATTAAATTAAAAATGAGACAATACATATTTTATTTATTTTGATTAGATATTTTTATTTATTTATTGAAAAATAAATTAATCCTTCGTATTTTGTTTTTTATTCGAAGGAAAAATCAAAAACACTTAAAAAAACCGAAACACAGTGGCCTAATCATAAAATGTAAGTCGTTTTAAAAACTAAGGCTCCGGCATCATAAAAGTAGACCTTTAAATTGGATAAATTCGAAAAACTTGAATAAGCCGAAACGCAGTGGCGTGATCTTAAAATGGAGGTCATTTTCAAAATCTACGACTCCGGAAACATAATAATAGACTCTTCTATGATAAAAATAACTACGATAACAGACCCACACATCGAAAAATTAAAGATAAATAAATAAATAATAAAAGGTTGAATTTGAAATGGAAAAGGTTTAATTTGAAATGGAAAAGGTTGAATTTGACTTGGAAAAGGTTGAATTTGAAATGGAAAAGGTTTAATTTGACTTGGAAAAGGTTGAATTTGATTTGGAAAAGGTTGAAATTGACTTGGAAATGCTATATATGTGATTAAGATAGGATATGATTCTGTCATGTGCTGTAAGATTTGAGTATTGATTTTGTCATGTCCTGGTGTTCTTGGTATTCTTGTTTAAATCATTTATAATCTGTAGGACCTCAGTCTTTTCCAAAGAGTTGTCATTGTCAGTTTGTGGGGGTATTTTGAGTCTCCTCAAGTTTATTTGTTCTAGTGTATCGTTTGTGGATATATCTTGTTTAACTAGGGTGTTAAGTACAAGTTCTAGTGTTTGTTTCATGTTTCTAGTGTGGTTGTTTTCATCATTTAATATAGTTCTGAGGATCTCTTGACTTTTAATAGTTTTAGATGCTTTCTTGTAAGCCCAGTTTCATGGATTTGATTCTTTGGTACAATATTTTTCCAAAGATGTGATTTTCGATTGTTTAATTAGTGCATGGAATTGGTGACAGCAGGTGAGATAGTCTTGTTTACGTTGTTCTCTTAAGAGGACATCTGTTTTGGTTTTCTGTATAATTTTTTTAAGTTTGTTAGTCGTTTTCCTGAGACTAGTTAATTCATGATTTTCGAGTTAGATATTTTAAATGCCACGTTGCACGCTTTTATTATTGTGGAGTTAAATAGGTCGACAGCACTCTTCACATTGTAATTTAGAATGTTTTCCATGATTTTGTATTCAATCTGAGAAGTAGAGTATGTTTCGTCTATTTTAAAGTGGTTTTTTAATTGAAAGGTTAAATTGTTTTCAAATTGTTCGCAGTCATCAGATTTTAAGTAAGCAGCAACTTTTATTGTACGCGTATTTACGTTTCATTGTAATTTCAAAATAAATTGAGTTATGGTCAGAAAACTTACAGTCATCAAGTATTTTTCATTGTTGTATGAATTTGTTTACGTTGGGTATGCTTATAGTTACATCTATATTGCTTCTTCCCCTTGATCCTTCAAAAGTAGTCATCATAGATCTATTAATTAATATTAGTTGATGAGACATAATGTATGATTCTTAAGCTTGGCCTCTTGGGGTAACCTTAGTGTCATGGCGAAAAGGTGATCGGCAGAAAGAATCGATAAATAGAATTATTTCATAATTTTCGTATTGTTTTATGATTGCATCAATCTTCGCGAAGTCTTTGTTAATGTCTGTCTTTTCATCAAAATATGAGCTTATAAAATTAAATTTTGATTGTTTGACAGTGATTCCTATGGCGCAAAAGTCAAAGTAACGATGTTGTAATAGTAACATTACATCAGCAAGTTTGTTGTTCAGCATGATTACAGTTCTGGGTTTGGTGTCATATGTATGGTAAATTTGATATCTGTGTGAATATCCTGTTACTTTGTTATTTCTTGAATAAGAGTAATGTCTATGTTTTTTCTTTGTATAGAATGGTTCAAGTAATTTGTCGCTGATTTCGAATAATGTTTAGTTAACTATATTATCTTTAAAAGTCTGTACTTACTGAAGTAAAGTTAGTAGTCTGTGTTTTGTGATAGTTTGTTAATTTCTCTTATGAATGAGGGACAGTTTCGTTCTAGTGCAGAATGGTTAAGATCTATTTAGTTTTTGTTTTGTCGAACATGTTGGTTGAAGTTGGAGCAGTTGGGACACTTAACGAATTGGTTCGCATCAGTCCTTATATATATAAATGTGTGTGTTCAGGTTTATATAATTAATGTAAGCTGCTCATATTATATTATTAATAATATATATAATACTCATTATATAAATATTAAGGGCTGTATAATAAGTATACATTAAAAAAAATTATAAAAAGTATAATCAATAAAAATGTTTTAGAACATTATTCTCTACCTAGCATATGGAAGCACTATATGTTGCTCCTGAGCAACATAATGATGGTATGGCTCTTTACACATAGTCCCGGCATGCCCATGACAAACAGGTTGATGATATAATTCTGCAGGTTCTTGCTTTGTTATGACACCGTTCAACATACATTCTGATTGAGCTTTCACAATAAGCCTTTTCTTTTGGGATACAGCAGGAGTATATCTAAAATATAAAAGCATTCTGCTTTAAAAATTATGTGGAGGTAAATATCAGATATTATATGATTCAGTGTACATGTTTTTAAATCTAGATTTACATATCTAGTAAAAAATAATAAGGGAAGTAAAAGAACAAAACAAAATTTAATTTAAGTATACTTGCCCATTTTCAACAGCAGTACAGCACTGACTTGTATCTTCAGCACGTGTAAGGTACTTATGATGTGGCTCATGTTTTATGTCCCTAAAGCAATGTAGATAATCACCAGGTTTTGAAGGACTTGGGTGTTGATACTGGCTTTTAGAAGAGTTATCAAATAAATTTGCAGTCACTTTTGCTGGAGAACACCTTCCATTGGATGAATATTGTTGACCCTAAAATAATTTAAAAACTTATAGTCCAGTGATAGGAGCAATTTAATAACATAGCTAAATTATTTAAATAATGCATTTTTCTTTTATGAGCCTAAAGATACATGTCGGCTTGAGAGTAAATTGACTGAGAAACCTCAATAGTATCTCTCTGAGAGTGAGCTACCTGCTTCTAGCTAACTCAGAACTGTATCCACTAGCAAATACAGCTCTTGTGAGCTCTGCTTTATGAGGTAGCTTTAGTATAGTATATGAAGCTTGAGATAAGTACGTCAAGGTATTTAAATTTTTTTCTCAAATGAAAAACAAATCGTTAATGTGGATTATGGTTACTTTAATACTTTGGCAAATCCACAATAAAAAAAAATCCTCTTAATTGTTACAAAATTATTAAAAATTCTCTGTATTATTATTATAAAACAAATACAAATCTTCTGTATTATGAATATAATTATTAATTTAAACAGCCACCTGAACCTGTTTTCCTGAAACTTATTATCACTTCTCTATATGTGAATACATTTCTTTCTCATCCTCTGCCATAGTTTAAAAATCTTATTCTATGACAGCTTATAAAAAGTAGTCCAATACTTAAATGTTTACTGCGATGTTTCATAAATAATTTAAATGTTTTAAAAATAATTGCAGTTGATTAGCCACAAATAAAACACTAGTAAAATAAAATTGATGTTATTACATCAGTTTGTAATATTACCCAGGGGTACCATCCATCTAAACCAATGAGATTTGTCACTTTATACTTCTACACTTATAAATAGAACACAATGACAGGTATTAGACACAATGGAGTACAACGTATACCACAGATTTTAGTGAAACAACTTTTAGATGATAAAATTTGCTTAAAAAACTACTACTTCCAAAGTCTGACATGATTCCAATTCTTTTTGATAGTTTTGTTTATTTATAAAAAGAAAAGTCCCAATGTAGCCTTCATCTTTTGTCACCATGCTGTAATTAATGTTTTCCCTTTAAATTCTTATTTAAAATCACGAATCGTTTAGTGCAGGCCAATTCATCAAATTTGATAATTGTGATGTCATAAAATGGGTAGAAATTTTCTGAAAAATGACAATTCCTGACACCCTTTGTGAAAGGTGAATTTGTAGCTGATGGCAATGTACTCATTATATATTTTCAAAAATGTCAATTATAATGCATAATAAATTATCATAAGCATTAATAAGTATACTATTAAATATTGAATAAAAATAGAATGCTTTAAGGCAGAACTTCTGAATCTTTTTGAAACAAGGTAGCGCAAAAGGGATTAAAAAAGTAATATTTCCATTATTATAACATATATTTACTATAACACATTATATATTCATATTCATTATAAAAAAATCAGATTAGTATTAATTATTAAAGAGGAAATAAATATTGTCACAAAAAAAAAATAATATCAACAATCTTAAATATTAAGGCTATTTGTCTCTTTGAGAGAGATTAAATAAAGTGTATATGAAATAAACTGAACTATAACTTATAAAAACAGTTTGAGAACCCCAGCTTTAAGGAAATAAAAAAGTGGATCGATCCTTAATGATTTTAATTTATAAACTGATTATTAACATGAACAAAATTATGTCGTGTTAGTAATATTATTGTAGTAGGTAGTACAACATTGCATAATAATGAGCTAAATAAAAATGAAAACCCTAAAGTGGTACACCTATCCAAGTGAGAATTCGGACATGACAAAATACTCAGAACAAACAGTTTAGTAGGAACCAAAATTAAAAGATTACAAATTAAAAATCACTGTAATAATGATAATGAAATTAAAATTAAAACAATAATACTTATAATCGCTTAAACTGTAAAAAATACCTGATGATGCATTTTTGAGGATGGTGTATGCTGCTCTTCATTATCACTATCAGCAACAGTGTAGCATGAAACAAAACCATTATGTTGTTTTACTGAGGTTGTGTTGGCCTGCTGTATAGGCCGAGAACTAGAAGCAGTACAGTGTTGGGAACTGCAAAAATATGTTTCATTAACTAAAACCAACTAGTTTCAATGGATCACTAATATATGTTCAATATAAATAAATGTATGTATGCATACATACATATAAATATATATATATATATATATATATATATATATATTACACATACATTTATTTATATATACATATATATATACACATATATATATAGATATATATACATATATATATATATACATATATATATATATATATATATATATATATATATATATATATATATATATATATATATAAATATAAATAATAATTTATATATAAAATAATAATCTATATAAATAAATGTATGTGTAATATATAACATACAAATAACTTAAATCTATGTCCCTCCAGAAATGACATTGGGGAAATCCTTAAATATTAGGACATTTTTATTTGTTCCCAGAAAAATGAAAATGACATTGGTAATGAAATGCACTCAATGCATGATTCAATTAATAAAAAAATAAAAACCTCAAGACACCAAATCCAGGTAGAATGAACAGAATAAAACCCATGTCGCTATGAACCAGTGTTGGGCAAAATTTTTTGTCTTCAATAATAGATAATGAATAATTTATTTAAATTTTCAAATAACAAATAATTATACCTAAATTTCGTTTTGTGTTGGTATCCCCTGCTCAATCAGAATATTATACATCATCTAACGGTCAATGTTATGTGATGTTCAAATTAAAAATTAAATTTTTTTGAAAGCAATATAAAGCTGAAGAATGACATTGTTGAACTCTATATTTTTCTCAAATGTTTGCAGGAAGGAAAATTTTTGAACAGTTAAACATTTTCATCTAAGACTACATTGGCAGTCTCCAATAATTTTCTCAGCTTATTCTGATATTCAACAAGTTAGGATCAAAGTCAATATTTTTTAACACACTAGAAGAAGTAAGATTCCTTAACAGTTATTATAAACCATCCTTATACCCCTTTTGCTAATCGGAAAAAGGATAGATTCTTTCCATTATTCGGGCATTTTCACATTCTCCTAGACATTTTAACCAAAATGTGTATTTTAGAAAATCCGACCTTCCTTGAATGCATTAATTAGATCACTAGAAATATTATCGGTTCAACTTACTCTTTACTTGGTTCTTCTATTAGAGATATAGCACTGACATAATTTCACAATTTCATGAGTTTAATAATAAAAAAATAGTCGTTCGTGCATGTCTAATTTTGTTTGATTGAGATACATTAACTTTGCTCTAAGGCACTACTAATTATAAATCAATAATATTCCACCAAACAAGTAATTATTTCTGTATAAAAAAATAACGAATTTCAAATTAGAATTAGTTATAATCCTTTTCAAAGCAATTCGGCATTATGTAACAGTCTAAACTCTCCAGTCAACACATCCTTCTTTGGTCCGAATATTCTATGCAATACTTCATTTTCAAAAACACTAAGACGTTGCTCATCCCTTAATGTAAGCGGCCACGTTTCGCATTCATAAAGAACTGTAGGTAAGATAATGGTTTTATAAATTCTAATTTTTAAGTTCCAAGATAGGAGCCAAGTAGTTTTGTCACAGAAAAATACCAAGCATTTCCCACCTTCAGCCTGACCTTAATAATCTCTTCTTTTCTTCAATTTTGTTTTTTCTAGTTATCGTAGACCCTAGATACCTAAACTTCTCTGCGTGTTCAAATTCTATTAGATTTAAGATAATTATTTGTACAGATTTGTATTCATTATCAGTTCCATTATCACTTTTACCTTTGCCTCTCTGTAATTAAATATTGTAACATAATTTTTCCATCTAAATAAGTTTCTAAACTGATCAATACATATTTCATGGTATGGAGGAAAGGAAGTTGAGATGGGTAAGGCATGAAGAAGCTCCAAGCAATTCATCGGGAAACCTTGACACAACAATGAATGCTAAATAGGAGGAAAGAGACCACATGGAACTCCATAAATCAGATGGATAGATAAAATAAGCAAAGATATTGCAGAGTTGAATGCAGCGTACTACAAAAAAGTAACCCAAGCAAACAGAAAAAAAAATTTCTAATACTTTTTTGTGTTATTCTTGACTAACATTATTTCCCAACATCATAAAATATACTATTTTCCATTCAATGTAAAATTTAAGACAAAAATAAAAGGATAGAAAAGTTAACTGTAAGAGGCCAGGACTAGCACAATGAACAACTAAAATTAAATATTACTTTTACATTGGATATGCATTACTTGTGTTGAATAACCAAACCAAATAATAAATATTCTGACTACAAACTAAAAGATGTATCACCTTTTAGGTGGAGCTTCATCTTCACTATCAGAAATAGTTATAACAGATACAGCAGGAGAAGGAGTATCATGAATGGTAATAGTTTGTTGACGACTGGAATTCTGAAAATTTTAATTCCATTAATAAAACAATGTGTATTATGCAATGCTAAATAAGTAAAAAGTATTAATTATACTAATAAAAAAGTTTTAGAGAGTAAATAAAACAAATTTAAAAAAAAAGAAAAAGTTACTTGAGTCGGGGGAATATGCTGAGATGACAATGAATGATTTTGCCACTGGTTTGGACTAGCACGTCCACGAATTCTAAGGCCGCTGCATTCTGCTGTTAAAAGATAAAATTTACAAATTACATGAAATTAATGAATTAACAGTAAAATATTACTTTCATATCTATTATGATATTTCAAATATAAGTTTAGTATCCCTTCTACAATCATCAAGAGGAAAAAATAACCATGATGTTTAGTTATTGAAATTATATTGGGTACATGCATGGATTTTCAATTTTCGTTTATCAGTACAGATAAGGTTAAAACTGAAGCTGAAAAGATAATTAGCATGAAAGATCAGTGAAGGGGATAAAGCTATGTTACACGAGTGTAGATGTGGCTAAGTTACATCCTGCCAGCACCAAGCTCTTACCATTAAATATCTTATAATTTTTAGCTTGGAATAGTGCTTTCAATTTTTATCTTAGAATAGTGTTACCAATTATCCATCCACCAAAAAAAATATTTTTAATTTGTTCTTTCATCCTATCATTTCTGAGTCAACATATTAAGTTTAAAATGTATTAAATTAGCTTTTATAAATAAATAAAATAAGTTTGATATTAAGAGGTTCAACAATATTTATTTAATTGTACAGGTTCATATTTTTAAAACCAAATTATTTTTTATGCCTTTTAATTTTTTTTTCTAAAAACAATAGAAAGTGGTTACTTTTTTTAACTAATAGCTTATATAGCAAATATATAATTTAAAAAAAAAATAAGAAGACTGAGCACCATTAAAAAAATAAAAACAATCAGAAATGTTTAGAAAGTAGAACTGAGAAAGATTAAACAATATTGTGTTTGCTAGCAGTAAACAGCTTTGGCCATTTCTCCAGTCTACACCACAGCCAACATGAGCACTATTATTTCAAGTTTTTAGCTAAATATGAACCTTTTTTATTATTTAAAAAATTAAATCACAATTTTATATAAGTTCTTTATCACTTGAATTCTACTGCAGCTCAAATTTACACTATTAATTTTCCATGTAAGTACCCAATTTAAAAAAAAAAATGAATTAAATTAAAAATATCAAAATTTTCAGAAGATGAAAATAAAATTATACAGTAACTAAGATCTATATCCATCACTAATATGTTTTCTACAATAAGTCCTACAGGTATTATATTAATTCTAACCAGAATGGAGGAGGTTGAGATTTATTCACTAAGTCTGCCACAAAATGAATTTCAACCCATCCAGGCTGGATTTGAACCACTAGAATCAAGGCTGCTAAATTGACAATATTTTAACACTGTTAGCCATCATGACCTCTTAAAATATATAATATCATCTATTGATCTCCTTGTATAACCAAGCAATAATTGCCGATTGCAGGGATAGAGGATAGCACCTTCTGAGTAATTTAACAATCCCCATACTCATAGAAGCCATGAGAATGATGATGAAAGAATACTTAAAAAGTAGATTTAACAATAAGTTTCTTTTGTTGTGAAACAGTACAATAAAAAATTTCAGCACTGGAAAAAGATACATAACCTCACCGGAGTCATTGTTTTAATACATAAGAATGATTGCTTCCACCTATAGTATAATACCTACAGTACAATTTAGACTGATAATTAATGTTATATGTCATTCTAATATTAAAATTATCAGTAAGTCATTACTTGGAGGAGTGCTCTCTTTGACACGTTTTTTAACAGGACTAAGATGTAGCTGGTCCTTCTTGTCATGAGACTGTCTTGGTAGAGTAAGATGATGATGTGGAACAGGAGGAGCAAGATGTTTTGCAATATTCCTCTTACCCCATGTCATACTAGGACTTTCAACCACCCTATCATAAACTTCAGTAGTAAAAACAGGCCGCTGCTCCTACAAAATAAAAATATTCCATAACTGAAAAATATCTAAGGTATTTTTTACTCAATAATTTTAACATTCAGCATATACTGAAGATCAATAAAAACATGTTTTGCCTTTAAATGATAATAAGTGATTTTTTAGTATATTTTAAATAACAAAGATTACAAATCAATAAGATTAGGGTTTTTGTTTTACATATTAATTCTCCTCAATCAAAATACAATTCATCAAGCAATTTGAAGTAAAATGCACTTTTAATTTTACATATCTCCAAATAATTAACTTTTTTCTATACATATTTGACCTTAAATTATATTTTATCATAAATAATAAGGTGTATAAAAAAAAAAAAATGACCGTTTTCAATCAAATATTTGTATTATTATTTATTTGATATAAAATACAATTAATACTTAAAGTATAGTCCATTGTTATCTACCGTCATTAGCCATCTGCTAGATACCATTCTTTGGGATGGCTGTCAAAGAACTCTTGAACCGCAATTTCAACTTCTGCAAAATTATCAAATTTTTTCCCTTGAAGAAAATGGGCCATGAATCTAAATAATTAGTAATACGATGGTGTGAGGTCTGGACTATATGGTGGACGAGGCAACGTCAGGCAAGGGTTTTTCAATAAATTTTCACAAATTTCTGACCTCTTAGCTGATTGCTGATGAATAAGTTCATGAGGGACCAGAACTCTCTTTCACCTTCCCAAAGGAGAGTAGATGGCAACTAACAGTATCTTTCGACACACCACACTCCCTGGCAAGTTCGGGAGTACTTGTGGACGGATTTGACTCAACAGCTTCCTGCAGAACCTTATCGATATCCATTAATGGTTGTCTGGAGCCCTTCTTCCTTTCCAACGTTGTATCTCCACTGCTAAATTTTTCAAACCAATGCCGCGCAGTGCTCTGGTCAAGGAGACCTTCCCCATCATATTTAATAATTTAACGAGTTGCTTCAGTTGCTATGAATTTTTTTTTCCATTGTGAGATTATGAGAATTTCTGGGGGACATTGTCATGTTTCTTCTTTGAAACTAATAACTAAACTGAGGCTTTTTTTGACGAAAACGAATGGGATTAAAAGGCCTTAGAAAATGCTTTAAAGTGATTATTAAGTATTGGTAAGTATTAAATAGGATTAAAATATTTACAGTCCTTTGAAATCTTGAATTTGATGAAACGGCTTTTTTTTTTTTTTTTTTTTTTTTTTTTTTTTTTTTTTTTTTTTTTTTTTTTTTTTTTTTTTTTTTTTTTATACACCTTATTATTTTGGAAATCCTAACAACCTTTTCATAAATATAAGGACTTCTGACTCCTTTTTTTTCTTTTACATATTTGGCCTTAAATAAAATTTTGTTGGAATTATTCCGGATATTAGTAAATTTTCTTTAAGGTAATTTTCTTTTTTATCTAATTTTGTTCCTTAATGATACCGAATTCATTCAGCGTTAGATATTCCTTATGTTTTTAATGTTTTTATTATGAAGTTATTGAGGAATTCAGAATAAATTTATAATTAATAAATCTGCTCGCAACACACAACTTTTTCTTATGAACCTTAAGAGTAGATAGGTATATTTTCTTATAGGGAGTCAAAGTGAAAACTTTATTTAATTATGTTTTTCCTGTGTATCGAATCAGTTAAATTTATACATTTGCTTCACTTTTCATTTCCTATTACGACTGTGTATATTCACAATATGCCTGCAAGAGTACAGCCCGTTATTCAAGCAAGGCGAGGCAACACTAGGTACTAGAGACTCTGATTTCATAATTAAAAAAGAATTAGATGTGTTTTATTATTGTTTAAAAGAGTGTCCATTTGCTTTATTTTACATTACAGATTTTTTTCTCCCTCTATCTGTGGTCTCTTAGACACAGAATATGTCACACCATATTTAGGTTAAAAAAATTGCAATTTTTTTTCTGTTGGGAAAAAAGCAACGACAAAATTTAAGATGTAGCAGTTTATAAGATCACTAGCGTATTTCATCAAAAAAAACATTTATAATTTCTTCTAATTAAAATACTGCTTAATTTTATAGAATAGCTAATTTAAATTACATAAATGACTGAGAATTATTTAGGATTATTAATGAAATGCAAAGAAATGAGAGAACCAACAGCAGATTTAGGTCACTCATCGAACATATACATCAAAATAAATAAGGTGTCTTTCAACATCCGAAGTGAAGGTATGGCTGCTTTAAAATGTAGCAAACAATCTGAACATTTTAATTAAAAGTCAGTAAATTGTTGTCAAAATGTACCCACTGAACATATTACTGGATTCCTTATTATTTGGTTTCTTAAATTTGTTTAAAATTTACTGTAGATGACTGGCTGATTTTTATAGTAACAAAGTATATGGCCAGATATGCACGGAATGTGCTCAGACAACACCAAAATTCGGACATACTTCTGGAACTGGTTTAATTTTTTTAAATTAAAAATTTTCTAGTTTCAAAATTTCACAATTTGGCTATCTAAAAGTGTAGAAGAATCTGGTTCAGACACTAATATGAATTGAGGTATTTGAACAATCAACAATGAGAGTGAAAAAAAAAGAAAGGGACTGGTAATTGGTGGCACTATTTTCAATAAGAGGATTCAAGAAGCCTCATGGGTATCACCTGGTAGAAGGAACATGAGCCAAATTGACCACCTACTAAGTGTGAACCACAAGTCAGACTTAATTAATTAACTACTAAATGTTAAGGACAACAGAACAAGGGTGTTACAATACTGAAAAGTTAAAGGACCCTGAAGTACAGGATTCGTATCAAACAAGGCTTGATATGAACTTGATGACCGCACTCCATGTGCTGGTGACAGCATAGACATAGACAATAGATGCGAACCATGCTCAAATGCCATAAATACTGCTGCACATGATCTACTGGGCCTAGTACAAAGGGACGAATTCAAGTAGAACTCCTAAAGCACAGTTGTGAAGGTCTCAGAGAAGTCCTTCATGAAATAATATTATTGATATGGAAGGAAGAAGACCTACCAAAAACATAGAAATGAGGAGTAATAATCCCCATCCATAAAAAAGGAGACCAAGTTGACAGTAAGAATTATAGAGGTATCACACTATTACCATGCACCTACAAAGTCTTATCCAATATCATCTATGGTAGACTTGTTCCCCATGCAGAAAGAGTTTTTGGGAAATACGTAGCTGGCTTAAGAAAGGGGCGACCCACCACCGACCAGATCATCTCTATTAGGATGATCCTTGAGAAGGCAAGCGAACATCAAATAACAACATACCATTTGTTTATCGACTTCAGGTCAACCTACAACAGTGTTGACCGAAGAGAGTTGTATCGGACTTTGTATGATCTCAATACTCCCCCAAAATAATACGGTTTGCCAAAATGACGATGGAAAAGACAAAATGCATTGTGAAGATTGGATCAGACATGTTTGAAGAATTTGATTCCAGTACAGGAGTAAGACAAGATGTGCTAGCCTGTCTGCTTATTAATCTTGCTGAAGAGAGAGCGGTAAGAAAATCTGGAATACAAAGAGTGGGCACAATTTTCAACAGAACCGTGCAGATATTCAGATATACCGATGACTTAGACATAGTAGCCAGATCCCAAACTGTACTAAAGGAAGCATTTCTTCAGCTAGAAAAGGCAGCTAAGAAGTTGAGACTTGCTGTCAACGAAACAAAATTGAAATATATGCTAGCAGGACCAAAGCGTTTCCAGAAAGGGCATATTGAGATTGGAATATATAAGTTTGAGAGGGTGCAACACTTAGTGTACTTGGGGTCTGAGATGCTATTCAGATGGTGATGTAGTATCTCAAGATGTGAAACGTCAGATTGCAGCTGCAACATGTGCTATTTTGGCCTTGCCAAGCTATTTAAAAGTATATTACTAATGTGAGGCTTTACAAAGTCCAGATTCGCCGGTCCTCGCATATAGATATCTGAAGTTTCGGTGTGGAATAAGGGCGATGAAGATAGACTGTTGATTTTTGAAAGAATGATACTCAGAAGAATTTTCGGTCCGATACAGAAAGGTAATGCCTGTAGGAGAAGAAAAAAATCTAGCGATCTACGCACTTTTCAAGAGCACAGATGTTGCTAGATGGATCAGTGTGAGGAGGCTCGGATGGATGGAACATCTCACTAGGATGGATAAGAATGAAACCTCAAAAAAATTAGCCATGGGAACTTTCTATCAAGCTAGAAGAGTAGGACAGCCCAAAACATGATGGCTTGATAGTGTCCATGCAGATGCTTGGATATTCTTGGAATAATGGACTGGATGACTGCTGCGCAGAATAGGGATGAATGGCGGAAACTTTTGGGGAGAGCCTTGATTCAGCAATGAATTGTAGCGTTGTATATGTCTGTACTAATCAATCACATTGCTTGCAAATTTATAATCCATGTCTTCAAAAAGTAATCACCTCACTATATAAATGTTAATACACTTCCGATAATCTATCTTAACACCGAATAACCCTTAAAACTGAAGAAATCTAAAAAGAGTAAAATCAACTAGAAGCTAAAAATAATTCATTTCATTCTCTGTCAAGAACACATTGGATGATTTGTAGATGAATTCAAAGATGTACTAAGTTCTGAGGGCGTATTGTAAACAAAAAGATGTAACGGTCGGCCAAAAAGACTTATTGTTTGTTAGACTTGTTTTAAAAATGTATTCCTCTCTTTAACTTCTTTATTGTCACTGCCTTTATCAGAAATTATCTAGGGTAAATTTTTGTCTCGTATTTGACTAAATGTAATGAAAACTCTTAAAATAAAAATATGGATACGCAATAGCCAACTTCCGCTGGGAACCACGGAATATGTTTGACAGATAAGTTTTTACAACAATTTACTGACTTTCAATCAAAACTTTTGAGATATTTGTTAATTTAAAGCAGCTTCATACTCACTTCTTATAGACTACACTAACCTATGATTTAAAATTAATTCCACAAATATTTTTGATAAGTGATCTAAATCTCCGACAGCTCCCAAACTATAATAAGTATTAAATTAAAACTGTAATGATTAAATATTAATAGTACTGTAAAAGTTTACAAACAACTTTCAAGACTAAAAATTTAATTAAGTTGGATAAATTATGTTATGTGGTGGAATACAAAGAAATATCGCAAGTACAATATTATGTTACAGGATAAGGGGGCCTAAAAAATAAAAAAAATAATCATTTTTTAACGAATTAAATGAATTTTTGGAATTTGATTTTGCAATGACTGAGTAAGAAATAATTTATTTTTTAATACAGTTTTTGCAGGGAGTCTAGCGAAAAGTTTAAATAGAATTCCCTGACTTTTTCAAGTCATTAAAATAGTTGCAGTATGGCATAATAAGGAATTTGTATGTGTATAACAATTCATAACACTCAAAACTTCTTAAACAGAACATGAAAAAGGTAGCAAAAACATTCAAGTCTTTTTAATTAAAAAAATGAAAGACTTACAACTTGTTAGGATCAGTGGGGTAAGGACAAACTTGGTTCCTAAGAGATAAACGTTTTGTCAGAATTTCCAGAAATTTACGCTAAAATTTCAATACTAAACATATAATTTCTTATAAACCTGAATCAGAGCTGCTGACTGAACAAGAAGTGGTCTACCCCATTCTTGAGGTGGTAGCATTGGTTGCTGGATGCTGTGCTGGGCAGCTATTCCTTGCCAAGAAGGCACCATTGCCATTTGCCTGTTACTTGCCCAGGAAACACTGCTTGGTTCAACCATTGAAACTGGAACATATTGCTGCTGTCCACCAACCTAAGAATGTCAAATTAAATTAAATGTAATAATAATAATAATGATCTTTTGAGTTTTTACTTTCAAGTTTGTCTTAATGGGGCTTACAAACTTTTGACATCCATAATCAGTAATAAACTAATGGGACATGTACAAAAGAACAATCTCATGGTACAGGAGTTTATTGGTTGTAAGCAAAAATCTAAGAGATATAAAGAGCTTCTTGTAGTTGATTCATTCATAGCTTATCAAGTATCAATAAAGTCGTGCAGCATATCACTTCCGTGGATTGACTACCAGAAACCATTTGAATCAGTTTCTCATGACTGGTTGATTGAAGTTATCAAAATTTATAAAGTCAACAAGAAAATAAGAAAACAAAAAAGACAAGTAATGAAATAACCTTAAATAGTTACATAAAGGAAAGGTAACTATTCAAACAAGTTTAAAAATAAAAAAATCATAAAACTTAATAATAGAAATAAACAATAAAATAATTAATATCAACAAGGACAATAATATTGTATGAGAACCCAAAGTATAGATATAATGCAAGAGAAGACAATTTAACTTCACTTATTGTGCCCAAAAATCTACTAAAAAAATAAACCATTTCAACTAATCTACTTTAAATTTTGGTCAACAACTTCATTTCAATTCAAGGTTAGTTTATTTGGAACCTCCATCACTGAGAAGAGAATTATTAATAAAAACTTTAATAAAGAAATCACTGGAGTATAAGAAGTTATACCTTCAATATTGTATATTGTGTTCATGATAATTAACACAAAACGAATAGCATCATCATCATGTTATTGTTTTTAACATATGTATAGAATAAGAAATTACCTGTTGGGAAATTAATGGAGGCTGTAACTGAAGTTGTGGTGGGGGCTGTTGGGCAACAACTACATGCTTTCCAGGAGAAGGTATTCTTTGGTATCCTGTTGGACAAAGAATTGAAGAAACAATCTGAGGCTGGGAAATTTCACTACGTCCAACTCCAGAATACTGCCCTCGCCCTTGGTATACAGGATACTGTTAACAGTCATTAGATTCTTGAATATTATTTCACAAAAAATAAAATAAAATGAAGAATAAATTAGGTACATAGATAGAATTTTAAGTTTAGCAGCAAATGTTTTATCTAAGAAAATAAGGTTTGTATAATTTATAATAAGTGCAATTTGATCTTGATAGGACAATCTTCAGATTAATCCAAAACCATACCTGAAAAAAATATGAAATATTGTATAATAACAAGAAATTCAAATAAATCGATAAATAACAAAGAAAAAACATGCCCATTAATAAGAATAAATAAGGATTTTGAGTTCTGAACTTGATAAGGAAGTATTGATTTTTGTTCAATGGTTATACTAATAGGTGATAAGATCACAGTATTTGTCATGAAAATCATTAAAAGTCTGAGGCAACTTTATACAGCCTAGAGATACCCTTGAGAAGTCTTCTGACCATAGAGCAGTTAAGGGAATATACATAGAACAGAAAATAAATTTTTATTTATAAATCTATAACTTTATCCACTGAACTACTTCACTTCATAGTTCTGTACTATTTTGGCAAATAAGTTTTTATTCTTTATCAATTTTAAGCAAACTAATATACATATATAAAACAAAATTTAACGGAGGGTCTCCTGGTCCCAGGGTCAATTCACAGTTGATATAGCAGAATTAACAATTACTTGTCACAGCCTGACTCAAATCTGGAACCTTGAGCATGACAGCACAGCATCTTACTATAGCTATCTGCCAAATATAGTATTTTTTCTAAACTAGCAAGGTATCTAAAGCAAGATTAAGTATACAGAACCAATTATTTTGCATTCCAAACAGAAATATAAAAATAATGCATGTATTATAGATATTATATATGATATGCTTCTTCGGGTCCCATTAATTTTTTTAATAGGAGATTGTGCATAGCAGCACAGTACCTTACTCACTGACCTAAACCAATCCTTATCTACAATAATAACAATTTTAATTCAATAGAAACTATTTGATCAATGCTAATACTATAATCTATAATACTTGAAGTCATAAACATCACCAGAACTATAACATTAACAAATTATGCATTAAATGAGATTTACAAATTAGTATTGAATTAACGATACGTCCTTCCAGATCTTTCTGAAAGAAAAATACTTTAAAACAGCGGATTTTGAAGATACAATATGCAATGTTTTAGAAGTTCCTTAAATATATTAATGGAAAATTGTCAACACCCCAGCACCCTGCCATTATATTTTATAAAATGAGGAAACAAAGTAAAACCATTATGATTGGCAAGAGAATTGGACAAGCATAAAGCTGCAGAGATCCAACTAACAGACAGGATAATACCAGTATGAGGTTGCTAAATATAATTATAATGAAGAGAAGAATAGTTAGGGTGATCAGTCAAATAAGGAGGCAAAAATAAATGATAATATTTATTTTGACATTTGCCGACGTTTCGACCTGAAGTTCAGGCCATCATTAGGGCTAAGAAAAAAAACAAAAAAAAAAAAAACAGATAACAAGGTAAGAGAAACATAAAAATTAAAGTAAAATGCAGTTGTCAGAATAATGACAATAGTAAGAACAAGGGATAAATAATAATAACCGGTACAAAGTGTGGAATGATGAAGTGAACATAATCAAAAAGGTGACATAAGTATTGAAATGGGAATCTTAGAATAAAATGTAGGTACTTCTTGTCTAAGCGGCCGTTTTGAAACCTCACTTCTTATCTATCTTATCTAACATCATGTCATCATCTCACATAACCTCCCTCTTCTTATCCCGCCAAACTTTTGAGTTATTGCATTGTTTAGTTTTCAGTTATTCTCTTATTACGTACACTTATTAAATTGTTTACTTTTGGCCCGTTTGTGTTTATTTTACATTTTTTTTTAGTTTGTGACCCCTTGGTGTTTATTTTTCATTTTTTTTTCTCGTTTATTTTGGTCATATTATGGATCTTCTTAGAATATGGGATTTACCGTCTTCAGAAGAACAGGCAATTCAGTATTTTCAAAATGTTCGGGTACTTGCCGACGTGAAATTGTGTGAACGAGGTCATCGAATGAAGTTAACCAAGAAGGCCAAATGGAGATGCTTTCGTAAGACTTGACATAAAACTTTCAATAAGGAAAGGAACATGGTTGGAGGGCTCAAGGATTTCGTTTTTAACAGCTTTAAAATTGATTTATGGGTGATCCCATAGCTTGACAACGATGAAGTGGGGCAAAGAGCAGTTGAAACTATCCAACGGAGCTATGGTAACATGGAACAAATGTCTAAGAGAGGTTTGTGGCCATGACATGTTATACAGGCCAAGAAAAAAAATTGGAGGACCTGGCAAAGTGGTTGAAGTAGACGAAAGTCTTTTTTCTAAACGAAAAAATCATGTGGGGAGAGTTTTACCTCAGCAGTGAATGTTTGGTGGAATTTGCCGAGAAACAGATGAATGTTTTATCGTCAAAATAATTGACAGAAAGGCAACAACATTATTACAAGCAAACTATGACCATTTCCAAGTGAATCACCGGTATAATTTTGTCGATCCATCAACTGGGGTTCATACTCAACACATAGAACGATTGTGGGGCTCAGCTAAGTGGAGAAACAAAGTACATAGAGGAACTGCCAGACAACACCTCGATTCATATTTGTGCGAATTTTTGTGGCGACGGGTCCACAGAGAAGACGGGGTTCCTCGCTATTTTGAATAGCATAAAACAATTTTGCCTTCCAAAATAAATAAGACAAAAGGAAGTGAATAATTAACTTAAAATAATTTGTATACATGTTGTTTATAGTGTTGATATTTTTTCTTTTCTATGTAAATATGTTCTTTTAAATTTTTTTTTTTTTTTAATTTTATTTTGATGTTTTATATGTACATATCTTCTTAAAGTGTTTTTTAATTATTTTTTAAAATATATTTGTCATCAAATAAAAGTATTTTTGTTGTTAATACATTTGTTTTTGTATCTGTTTACACTTTCAATAATACGAATTTAATACAATAATACGAAGATGTGAAGTAGGAGAAGGCTTATCACTGCGTTATGGGAGTTATCAGTGTTCAGGTTATAAACATTGGCAGATAGCAGTCAGTAGCGGCCCCTTAGACAAGAAGTAACAAAATGTAAAACAGAAAAATATGAAGTTATATAAGAAATGGAAATAAATAGTAAAATTAAGATATTGCGAATAGAATAGTTAGATAGAAAATTGAGATGTTGTAAAGTCTATCAAGATGTACAGACAACGTATAATATAATAAAGAGTTAAAACAGAGAAAAGGAATGAAAGGAAGGAGGAAAGAAACTGAGAAGGTTGAAATAAGAAAGAGAATAAGAAAGAAAAAAAAACAAAAAAAAACACCTGACTGCAATGAAGTAAATCGAAGCAATGATCATGTTAGTCGAGGAGGGGGTGGAGAGAAGGGATGTATAGTGGCGTCATCTCCAACGGTTATCTGACGAAGTTTGAACTAAAGTACCGGAAGCGTAAATAAGGACGAGAGATATATTATTCATAAATATTATGGATAATTAAACGAAAGTTGATAGAAAGAGGCAATAAAATAGTTTAATATAAAATAAATTTATAATAAATAAATTATAAATAAATAATTTATAAATTATAAATAAATTTATAATAATCTCCTAAAAGACCGCATCACCCAACATAAATATTCTGTATCCTCTCGTAATTTTACCTACTCCAAATTATCCAAACATTCTCTCTCCCTCAATCATACATTTGATTTTGACAAAACATCCATCCTTGCCACAGTTCTTAACCATGATAAACGACTAATTTCTGAAACTCTCCACATCCAGCTTCAACCAAAGATAAACGTCTAATTTCTGAAACCCTCCACATCCAGCTTCAACCAAAGACAGTGAATTTAAAAACAGACAAACAGAACTTATCTTTAGCCTACTCCCAAATTCTGAATTTATTAAAACATCCATAGTTATATTCCTTTCCTTTTCGCTGACAACTTCCTTATCTATCTATCTATATATATATTTGGAACTTGTTTGCTACACACACACACATATATATATATATATATATATATATATATATATATATATATATATATATATATAAATCATGGAATCTCAGAAACTGTTTAAGAGTAGCAATAGATTTTCAGATAATTTGGGAAACATGGTGATTCCAGGACAGGTGTTGATCAAACATTACCACGAGGTTTCTAATGGAAGTGTGGAAGCAAACAGGTTGGCCATTAAGATAGAGTAGGGGATAATAAGAAATGGAATTAAGAAGATACTTAGACCCAATGAGAATGGGTCAATGTTTAGCTTCAAATCATTGTTAGCTATCCATGTTTTGATATTGTCTATATCTTCTTCAAGTCTCCGGGTCACCTCAAGCTATTCAGAAGGATGGAAGGATTGGTAGATCTGGAGGTCGTCAGCATGTAACTAATATTGTGAATGATAGATGGAATCAGGAAGGTTGTTGATGTAGATGGAAAAAAGGGTTGATGAAAGGGAAGATTTATGAAGAACACCACGAGTTAATGAGAAGGGTGAGGAAGGAGCTTTATTGGGAATGATGACTGTCTAGGATCTATGAGACAGGAAAGAATGAAACCATATTAAAACCTTATTCGAGAAGGAGAGATTTTGGAGTTTGGAAAGGAGAATTTCATGATTAACTGAATTAAAAGTTTTTGAAAAATCAAAGAGAACCAGGACAGAGATTTTATGTTTGTCTACGGAGAATTGAAGTACTTGGGTAACTTTTAGCAAAGCATTTTATGTGAAAAAGTGGGTTCGGAAACCAGATAGGAGGGAATTAAATAGAGCGTTTTGCTCTAGGAAGGCATTTAGCAGTGAATGGACAGGTTTATAGAATGGACAGTTTTTTAAAGTGGTTTTGAAAGATTGGAAAGAATAGAGATAGGTCTGAAGTTGGAAACTTTGGAGGGAACTAGGACTTGACTCAGCGGATGGACAATCAACAATGACAAGCAGATGGGAACCTGGAATTTTGAAAGGAAAAATTAAAGACATGGAAAAGGACAGGAAAGATTGCAGGAAGACATAGTTCGACTAACTTCAATGGAATTAGATCCAGACCATAGTCATTTGTTCTGGATTTGAGTTGAGAGGACAGAGGAAAGAAGATCCTTGGGTGAAATATTTCTAAAATAGAAATTTTCAGGATTAAAAGAAGTTTTTGGAATGCAGTATGAGGATGAGAACTGGAAAGTATTTTTTTATCAACTGAAAAAAATGATGATGACTGAGATTTCCTACTACTCCTCCTCCCTCCCAGCAAGGGGAGAGGAAGAACATGAAAAATGCAAATAAAATGTTGCATAACAAAATCAGCCCACCAACCAATATAATGTAATATAAAACAACACCACGATTCAATACAAAATTAATTAATAAACTAATCTTATATATTATTTCTCAAATGTATATCCCTTTTCCGGCTTTCAGGAGAGATAGATTTTGACGAATGAGGCACCAATAGAAAGGAAATATCACGCAAAGTGCACGAATCGTAATTTTGATTCATAATTTTATACCTGGACTTAAGTAAAAGTGAATGTAAAAGTGGGAGGTTTCAAACCATATAATGGAGTCATAATTGGGGAATAACTGCGGAAAGGACACAATTTTTGGCCCATTATGCATATGAGTATTTGAAAGCTTACTAAATTCCTTACAAAATGAAAAAAAAATAATGGAAATCAGACTATGTGGTGCAAAGATATATATAGCGTTCTAAACATTTAGTATTAAATCTACTTTAAAGATTTTTTGCTTTATATCAGTTTTGAATTACTCAAAAACTTTAAACTTATTTAAGTAATAATTGATTTTATCAACTATATTTTAGTAAAATTTTATTTTTTCATTGAATCTTTAAAATTTTTCAAGGGTATATATTAATAATAAAATTTATAATATCGAGGAAAACCCTTTTTTTATCCTTACATACATATTACATGCTTGGATCATTTAAATGAATTAAAGCATGGAATAAATATATATGGGTAAAATAAAGCTTTTTCCTCGATATTATAAATTTTATTATTTAACAGAAAATTATATAAAATATTCCTATGTAGATCAATATTGGTAAATACTTTTAATAATGCATTATTCTTTTTCTAGCGAGAAAAGTAATATGGTATGTAGCACATATCTTATTTCTAATTATTTAGATATATTAAACTGTTGTGTAATAAGTTTCAGCTTTCTGATTTGGTTACTTGGTACTAACATTTGGTTTTGTTAAATTAATTATTAAATTTGTTTTTATTGCTATAAATATCGGAATATTTGTTAATGTATATACTTCATTTTAAATAAAATATTATATATATATATATATATATATATATATATATATATATATATGAACTATTAGATGTTTATCATTTTGACAATTTATTTGATTATTTTTAATGACAAAAGAAAGATCTCTCTCTTTTTTTTTTCTGTACATACAGCCTGCTAGCTCAAACCGTTTTCCTTCCAGAGAACTAAATCCAAAGTATTTAGCCTTCATCAGATATTTAAAGGAAATATTTAGAAGCTTTTGTAAACTTAAAAAAATATATAATATTATAATTATAAATTTAATGAAACTAGCAAGAGTTAAACTATGGATGGATATAGATCATAATATTTATAAACTGATAACTTACTAAATAGAAGTATTAAAACTTTGCTTAGAAACATTACTAAAAGGAACTTATGCTGAGCCCTTTATGTATTGAAATCTGATACAAATATAAGGTTTGTGCGAAGTATTCGCACGGGTCAGCTAGTAATATTATAATATGAATTTTGGCCACACACAATATATATATCGTGTATGAATATTTTAACATTAAAATATAGTAATCATTAACTCAACAACCGCATGTTTTTTAGTTTATCATATAAAATTCCATTATTATGGTAATATCCCCAATAGAAAGAGAATGCCATAATAAAACAGCTGTAATACCAAATCCATAATAAAGGTACCAAGGATTAGTATTGCCCATTTAAAATTCAAGGTGCTGGATGGTTTGTTCAAATCTACACTTGTTTATACAGTGGAAATCGCATAACTTGCTGAAAGACCAGGTGCTCAAGATGATAAGGGCCATCGAAACATTAAAGCTCTACTGCTGTTGGTAAATTCAAGGTAATTTGTGTTCACCAATTTTGATAATTGAAATTCCCAACTTAATAAAGAATTTCCCATAAAATTTCTGACTATCAGCAATTTTAGAAACATACAATAATTAAATAATCTAAAAATTAAATCTTAATAAGGGGATATTTATTTTTTCTTTTCTTTTTTTCTAGTCGACTTTACTGTGTTTCCCCCTCTATAACTGGGAGGAGAAGAACACTGATCCTGTATTCAACAGTGAGATTAGAATATAATGACCTGATAATATCAAGTAAATGGAGAGAAAAGAAGAAAAAAAATATATGACAAGTTTACCTCTTTCCTACACAAGAAATTCTGTAATACATTTAAAGAGAGAAACATCGCTATAAGATGCTTAAGGTTGCGATTTCAAGAGAAATAGCCATCAAATGATTGTTGTAATTAAAATATTCAAAAGATAAGAAATTGATGATTGATCACGTACTGTGCTAATTACAAAATCATAACAGATTGGACATTCTAAAGACATTTAACTATTCCAAAAATTTAAAAGTAATTACCAAATTATCAAAAGTAGGTTGATGATGATTAGCCCTTTCTCTAACTAATCTCTGGACAGGATTTGTGAGATTATTATTAAAAGTAAGAGTTGCAACTAATGGTGCTGATTGAGTAGCATGTTGATGTTGAGAGGGTGTTCCATTTGAATAAGTATTTCTGCGACATACTTCCATCATTTGAACACTTGCTTTGACGTTGTTGCAATGTGCATAGTCAACCAAATGTGCCAAATTTACGAATGGGTGATTTAAAGCTTCTCCTGGAGTAATACGGCGTTCCTGAAAAAAACAATAAAAAATTTAAAGCAATTATGTAATACGATCAACTATGCTTTCTGTAGCAGATATATTTTGTTGCTAAAGAATTTTGTTCATTATTGAAAGTTATTATTATTGTTCACTTGTATATACAATTATTGAGTTGAGCAAATATAGCAGTAAAAAAATATTCTTTAATAACATTTAATAACTAAATTGGTGATCTTGGCCAAGCCTCAGATCAACATGGACATTTCATTTCAAAATAAAAATGTTGCAACATCACCAATTAGCCAATTCCAATGATTTTTATTTTTTATTTTCAGATCCATCACTTAATACAATTTTTTTTTTTTTCCAAATTTGGAAAAATGTAAATCCAAGAAAATGGAATCAATACTGAGTTATTTTGATCTGCACGATGCTCTTAAAGAAATATTGAGCAGTATTAGAAAGTTTACTCTCATTTAATAAGTCAAAAAAGTAGGAACATGTTCACTGCACAGAAAAAACATTCTTAACCTTATATAAAGACTGGTTGGAACAAGATATCAATTTAGAAGAAATTGTTATCAATTATTATCAAGAAAAGGGGAATTCATGTCCTCATTATCCTTCTGGCTTACTTAGAAGTAGACCTAAGATTTTTGCAGCGTTGTGAGAGAAAGATATTATGACAATGCATCTTCTGACATCTGACCCAGAGCTTGCTTTTAGGTGAAAAAATGTAAAAAGGCAAAGCAACATCAGCCCAGACATTAATGAATATATAATAGATTTTATATTCTTATATAATAGAGATTATTACAATAATCAAATAGACATTGGTTTTGATATAAGTTTACATTCTGACGAATCCACAAACGATTCAGACTCTGAATAAAGAAATTATTTTTAATAATTTTATAGAAAATTGTAAAAAATTATTATTCTATGACAATATTACTATAAGTATAATTTAATAATATACTATTACTACATTATATGTTACAGTTATATTATTTAAACAGCAACTTAGGTGAAAAGCATTACATATCAGATGTAAATTAAATGCATTTTATTAAAGGTTTATTTAAATTGTGTGGACAATTATTATTTCTTAATTGCCCTCATCGCTCTTTGAATCTATAGACATAATATTACGAAGAAGTATAAAGGCGATGTTACGTTTACCGGCCAGTACTTGCTCAGCGATGATTACGCACCGCAGCGATATGGAGGCTTAGGTTTAGGTGTAAATGGGAGGGTCCTCTTCAGCACTGGTCTGTTTCCCATAAGTTGGCCAATGTAACAGATGCTCTGTTTCAGAGGATTTTTGATTTCAGGCATGAAGTAAAAATGTGTGATGATCTATTAGGGATCGAAGTAAGCAGTATAGAACGACCGCTAACAGTTAGGAAAGTGAGACAGTCCCTGAGGGAAAAGTCCTTTGATGAGTGGAGCAAATGCAAATGACGTGTTCCATTTTAAATCTAATCCGTGGACCAATAAATTTATTTATGATAGAAAAGTTCTCACCTGCTCAGAATGGACTAATGCAATGAAATTAAACGTTAATTACGTTCCTCTCCGCAGAGTACCAGGGACTGCAAGCCAGGTTAATGGAGATGTTGGACCCCTCTGCCGCAAATGTGGTCGAGAGTCAGAAACCCCAGCTCATGTGTTGGGTAATTGTCCGCATAACATGTTCCTAGTCACCCGCCAGCACAATAATATAAAGCATCATATAGCCAAATTCCTTGAAATAAAGAAATATAAATGTTGCCTCGAAGTTTACTGCCTGGATACAGTGGACTCAACAAGGATCATTGACATCTTGGCGTTCAATGCGACGGAAAAGAGGCACTCATAGTGGATCCCACGATCAGATTTAAAACCAATTATCAGGATCAAGACTTCAAGGTACAAACAGAGAAAGAGGAAATTTATATGAAATGCATACCTTATCTGAAGGAAAAGTACAGAGATGAATTCGGCGAGAGAGAGAGAGTAAAAAGGAGATGGTTCAGAAGCAGGGGAAGCATCCCTCTTAATACAAGTAATTTCTTGTACAGGCTCGATGTTGGAAAGGAGCAGATGCAGACTACGACAGAAATAATTATTTTAGACTTGTTAAGGTACTATTTGGCTGGCGCGGTCGACGACAGCGATCGCTATTCCCCCATGCCAACCGCTGTTGGCGTACCTATTTCGCTGAAACTGCTCACTGGGGTTGTTATAACCTGCCTATAACCTTCGAACATTTCGCTGTATCTTCGAAGATAAAAAGATGGACATAATATAAGAATAAAAATGAACTTCCTATAATAATGAACATCTCTGACTACCGCTTTTTTATTTGAGTTGGAAAAAGAAGAGAAAATGTTGTTCATAAAGAGAAGGAATATCAGTATTTCGATGTGATGCTCATCATCAAAGTTCCTCTGATATTACATATTATTAGTTTGAAAAATAATAGTAATTAATACATAATTGGTTAGTAATAAATATCATATATTTGTAATTAAATCTCAGCAAGCGATGTTTTATAGTTTTATCAATAGTAATCAGTAAATCACCACTTTAATTAAAAAATACAAATCGTTTTTTCAATGGATGGATTTTAGTATTTACCTGACGATAAAATTTGTTGGATTCTTTAATTTATTTAATATCGTTTGGATTTAGGTATATTTGTATTTCGCTGTAAAATATTGCTGGTGGAATAAATAAATAAATAATCTTGTTACTTCAACCTTAAAAAAAGAATTTACTATTGCATTGTTTCAGTTTTAAACAATATTTGTTATAATTTTGCCAGACTTGAAAGAAACATAGGAAATAAAACGTATCGACGGGACTGTTATCCTCAAAACAATGCTCTGATATGATAACATAACCTACAACCGCCGAACCGCCAACAGCTCCACTGCTTCAAGAGGAGTCAGATCCGAGCAGCTTAGATATGACGTCATACCTAAACTGCCGAGCAGCGCCAGCGAAATAGGTTCCTTTCTATTCCACTAAAGCAGTGATCAACCGCGAGCAGTCGCGTTCGTGGACCGCGCCAGCGAAATAGTACCTTTAGGAATACTCCATCACCATATATATTGATCTAGGCCTTCACTTATTTGATTCTATAAACCGTTCTTGGTATGTCTGATATTTATTCCAATGGTCCAACCTAACTCTCTCTTATATTTTTATACAGTATTATCTTTTGATTGATGAGTATGCTGTGTTATTTAGCAACTCAACAGTTGAGCAGCCATGCAATCTTGTTGTGTTTCTCCCTAGTGTTATGAGGAGTGAGCAACAAAAATTGTGTAGCCTTTGTAATTTAAATGAAATAGAAGATGTATACGACTACGTCGCTGTTTGTCCGATTTTACACGAATATGGAATCAAATATTTAAAAAAAGAATTATAAACCCCAATGAACTTATAGACATACTCAATGGCAAAGATTGGAGCAGTTTATATATGTATTATATATTCTTGAAGGAAGTTAGCCGACTGTTCTACATATCATGGTGATAAATATTCAGGACGCAGTCTTTTTTAAAATTTTTTTTTTTATTTTTGCCAACGTTTCAACCCAAACATGTGGGTCATCTTCAGGGCTCTGTTTTAGTGTTTGAAGTATCTGAAGAGAGAATAGAATGAATTGTAGAAGATGGCGAATCACAAAAAGACTGCGTCCTGAATATTTATCACCCATGATACGTAGAACAGTCGACTAACTTCCTTCAAGAATTCATCAAATCCTTGGGACCTAACTACAACATCACACGTCGTTGCTGAAATCCACCACATCAGAGATATGACCCCTTCGAACGCTGACAACGCCATCGCACAACACACATCAAGAAAAACAGGTCATCCTGGCCCATCTCAAGCTCTACGCCGCTTGCACTCTGCTGATTCGCCATCTTCTACAATTCATTCTATTCTCTCTTCAGATACTACAAACACTTAAACAGGGCCCTGAAGATGACCCACATGTTTGGGTTGAAACGTTGGCAAAAATAAAAAAAAATTTTAAAAAAGACTGCGTCCTGACTATTTATCACCCATGATGTATTATATATATATATATATATATATATGCTTATAAATATAGAATGTTTTTAATGCAGCAATACAACAAATAACATTCTTTAGTTATATAAACAAAAGCAAAAGCAAGTATAAGATTAAGGTTATGCAACTATAATTATTTCTTGACAAATTAAAGTTTATTTATATTGAATATTTAATAGTTGACCTAATATTATATCATCGTATATAATATTATATTATATCATGGTCTAAATATTATATTATATCATGGTCTAAATATTATGTAATTGCCACAATTCTCTATCTTTTTGTATCTTGTCCGTTCTAGCCCTGATGAAGACCTGCAAATTCGGGTCGAAACGGCTTTCAATAAAATAGTTTTACCACTATTTAGCCTTTTTATGACCGCAACCCCGGACCATCTCCTTCCTTTTTAAGTTTATTTAGATTCTTTTGTATCAGGTAGTTTTAAGTTGTTTTAAATTGCAAAAGGCTGTTTAATGTTTTCCAAGTAAATTGTTTTTATTATTATTAATTCTTTTCATTGTATGTATTTTTAGGGCAACTCCAGGCAGACAGTTCTATACCACTGCCAATATAAAAAAATTTGTTTTTATAAAAAGGAATATGTAAAATTTATATGAAATAAAGCTTTCTTTCTACCTATTTATTTATCTTTTTTTTATGACCTGAGATGTATAATAATAAATATAAATGCATAAACACATTTTTTATTTATAAAAAAATATGTTAAAAATAATAATTTTTCATGTAAAGTGGCTATGAAACTGTTTTTCACCCAGATCTCTATTACAGGAATTGATCTGTACTTATACTGTTTATCTGTTGATTATAATGTTGATCTGTAAATAATGTTTTATGTCCTAAAATTTATATTTAAAATAAAGAAACTTGCTGACTGCTTCAATTAATTATCTTCACAGAAATGTAAATATTAGGACCAGGAACATTTATTTTGTCACTTATAAGTACGGATCAATTCCTTTAATAGAGAGAGGGTGAAAAACAGTTTCATAACCACTTTACATAAAAAAATATTTTTTTTTTATAAATAAAAAATATGTTTATACATTTATATTTATTATCATACATCTCAGGTCATAAAAAAAAAGATATTATATATCGACAGTATATAAAATCACTTGAACTTGATCCATTACTACGACTTACAACTTGATCCATAGTAAGCATTCTTTTTAAAAGATCTATGAATTCCCTGCGATCTGCTTTCTCTGCAAGAAGTTCACCTCCTTCTAGGTCTGTTGGAACATTTACTTGGCCAATATCATCTAAACAATTAAAAATATACTTCCTAGCTTCTTTTGATTTAATACCGTTTTCTGCCTCATGTTCTTCAGGTGTCTGAAATAAAGCAAAAAAAAATCATGACCGACAAATGTTTAAGTTTCTACAGACATAGAAAATAACTATATATTACATCAAATATAAATATATGATGTCCCCGAATTCAACACACAGAATTAGAGAATTTTTGTAGGATTTTTTTCAGGAATTAAAAGCATTCAAAAGATACAAACAAATAAATGCTCTAACTATAAAAAAAAAAAAAATAAGAATTATTAAGTTTTAATTTATTTCCAGATACTTAGGTATATTTGGCCAAGTTAAGAGAGAAACCTTGAGAGCAGAGCATAGGCAAGGAAGTTAAACTCAAGACAGGAAAGGAGTCATTCCCTACAAACAGCTCTCTTAAATTTTTCTTATAACACTTTGATTTGTTTCACATTATTTCAAATGTGTGTTTTAATTGTTAAGTTGATTGGTATTTCAAACAATTTAACAATCACTTAAAAATTATATGTGTATAAACAAATTAAATTTTATTTGTGGTTGTTAATCATAATTTAATAATTATTAAAAATCATTGTATACTGCAACACGTGAAATATATTAGAAAACGGCAGTATACTTGACAAAAGATTGAGATTATATTATAATTTAAAAAATAATCATGTTATGGAGCCCATTAGTTCAAAGGAAAGAACCAGTATAGCCGAGTGGCTAAGGTATGGTGATAGAAATGCAAAGATCACAAGTTGAAACCCAGGTTCCTATATAGTTAATTACAAAACCCCATAATTAGGGAGGTCTACAAGGTAGACTTTCATAAAGGAGAAAACAATTTTTAGGAAAATGTTTTTGTCTCCTTTACTAACCTATCTATAGTAAGAGAAAGTATTGTGATCGTGAAAACGTTCAAATCTGAGTTTTTAATGGAAATAAATGTTTTGAGGTCCTCTGAGTCCAAATAACCATGGTCTGTGTGTGTGTGTGTCAGTGAGTAGGTCTGTGTGTGTGTGTCAGTGGGTGGGTCTGTATGTGTATGAACAATAGCTCAAAAATAAAAAAGTCATACAAAAGTAAAAGTGCATATTTACGTTAAGCATATACCTGCAATGTTTAAATACAAAAAAATTGACTTACTGCAAGTGCCACTTAATCGATTTTACAAATGTTTACAATTTTCTCAAAAATATCTCTAACGATTTTGATTGAACTTGGTATATCAATGTATAATTAAGTAATCTTTAATATCATTTGGGCAGTATCCCTATTGATGTTGCTTAACAGAGTTTAAATACCCAATGTTCAAAATGTCTTCCTCTAAAGTACCATTAATTTGGTTTATTTTGAATAATTAACTATCTTTCATAGTTAGATGTTATAAAAAAAGGCTTAATATAACATTTGATAGTTGAATAAAGGAAAAAAGAGAGATAAATGCTTACCCAGTGTGAAAGAAATATATAAATAATAATTTCTGAAAACAAATAATATTTAACGTAAATCACTGTAATCTTCAAGCTTTAGCTTGGTTAAAAATGTCAAATGTTGGTCAACAATTTTGTAAAAGCCCAACATTGACAGAAAATAATTTCTATTCAAAGTAGAGTGGAGTGGTAAGTGAAAGTTGTGTGTTGTGTGCACCAGATTTTTTTCATTCTTTTTCACATGAAAAAATTTGAAATTACTTATGTCTGTAGGGTAAAATAATATTTAAAAAAAAAACAAGCAAAAACTGTTTAGAAAAATAATGAGTTAATAAAGATAAACAATACCTTTAGCCTCCAAAATGGATAAGTGCTTTCCATATCTCTATAGAAGAATTTTGTAGTTTTAGAAGCATTGTTAAGCATATGTTCCGTTGGTAAACCCTGTGTTTGTGAAATATATCTAATTTGGTCATATTCTGAAGAACCAGGATAAAGAGGCCAACCTAAAAACAGCTCAGCCACTACACACCCCAGGGACCACATATCTATAGCTTCACAAAATGGTAAACCTATAAACATTTATTAAGATTCATATTTGTAACAAAGAAAATTATTTAAGATAATAAAGTTAGTAATAAGTATATAATAATAGTATAACATTATAAGATATTTAATATACATTATCAAAAGATTAGAGAAATACCTACAGCAACTATAATATATAAATGGACTAAATATAGCTACAAGAGTAACATTATAATAATAAAAGGCTTAGGCAACCCGAAAGTTTGATGCTAATACCATCAATCGTTGTCTATATGCCTTCCTCCACTATTCGCCGTCCAAACCCAACCCTTCCAGATCAGCCAAGCCTTAACATTATCTTCACAACCTCGCTTTAATTACCCATCAGGAGTTCAACAGTTTTTTAGAGTGTTTCTTTTTTTACGAAGTCTAACAATTTTACATGCCCATTTTATTTGCTGTCATGTAATCATCACAATTATATTAACTGAAAAAAGTTCACACGATTCGGCATTGTGTAACCATCTAAATTCTCTGGTAGACTCATCCTTCTTCAGTCTGAATATTCTATGCAATACTTTATTTTCAAAATACCTTAAGAAAGAGCTCATCCCTTGTTAACAGTGGTCCCGTTTTGTATCCATATAGAATGATAGGTAGAATAATGCTTTTGTAAATTATAATTTTTATGTTTTATAATAGAATATGGCACGAGCTAAGAAGTTTTGTGACAGAAAAAATAATAGGCATATTCGTAACTTCAACCTAACCCTTATCCTTATTTCCTCTTCAATTACATTTTGTCTAGTTATCGTAGATCCAAGATACAAAACTTCTCTACGCATTAAAATTTATTTATTTCTATATTCTAAATTCTTGCCACATTTGGAGCTAACTGTGTCTTATCCATGTTTATTTTGAATCAGATTAGAGAGGACGAAGTAGTTAAGAGTATTTAAGGAAATTGGAAATTTGTGATTGAGCTATTCATCCCAGAGGTTTGGGAAGGTTAAAGAGAATGGACATTGCATGGTAGTCTTAATGAGAAGCAGGATTGGGGATTTTGTTAATAGGTAGGACTAATGATTTTTTCTCAGAGATAGGAAAAATGGAATTCTAGAAGGAAGTTATTGGTATAAAATTTTAAAAATAATAAGTAGACTGTAATCATAACATTTTTTTTTTTTTTTAGAAATACACAAAAAACAAAACAAACTATGATAAATTCCATCTCAGTTCAAGCAAAGAAAATTATAATAAATTCGGCTTCACCTTATTCTTAATGTGTACAACCTAAATAAAAATACAACCTTTTTCACAATCCGACTTCATGAAATAGTTACCTACGACATGGCTCTAGCCTAGCCAGCTAGTTGACTTTTCTTTATTGATTTTTGTTTACAAACTTTATTCATACATGTAGCTTATTTATTATTGATTTAAATTCTGTTTTACCTCAAATTACTGGAGGGAGCGAAACGATATTCTCGTCCCCTCAACATATTTATTGGAGGGTGGGGGGCGATCCCCACTCCCAATCTACCCAACGAAGTATATGATCATGTACTCAAACCTTTTATCCATAGCCTCAGGTCTCAGAACATCCATCTTCAACTTAAAATACCAAAAACAAACAACCTCAAAAAATGCATCCTTAAGGGTCAAGTTACCTCCACAACCTTCACCACAGATCATTCCCAAACATCCTCACCTAACTCAATCATTTATCAAAAATTCCATTAAATATGGAGCATTCTCAACAATCCCAAAAGAACCCCCCTAGGCAGGTTAATTTACCACATGATTCTGCTTCATATTCCTATTCCAACTATAGTCCAACCGACGAAGCATCAGTTCTTTCATTTCATGCTTCTTTCATGACCTTCAAAATATCTACATTGCACTCCTTACCTGACTCCTTTCAGAAATCCCGTTCAATATCTCAAAAGTTATGAAAATTTTCTGTTTTCTAATTTCTATTTTTTAGTTTGTTTGCCAATTTATTGTAGATTTTTGTCCGATCTAGTTGTATGCCACTTGGCTCTTGTCCAATGTTTTTCTGCTAGTAAGATTCTAAGGTGATATGGAAAACTGGTTTCACGGTGATTTCTAATTTTGAGGAGTGATGTATTGTTATTGATGGCAGTTTCTATAAATCTTGTGAATTCTTCAATAGTCAATCTGTGTTTTTGGTTTTAACAAAATTTTTAAATCCAGATTTTTTTCTAGATAAAGTTGAAATCTATTCAAGTTTACTTGTCCTGTTATCACTGATGTAGGTGAATGTTTAGGAATAAGATTTGAGTGCACGAGAAGCAAAATCGGGGAATGAACTGATGAAAGTTTGTCTAAGGATTTGACTGCTTACTAAAAGAAGGGCATCTGGGAAGTAATGAATATATCAAGGATGTCAGAACGTTTCTTAATGACATTCATGTAGTAAATACACCTACATGTAGTTCATGATAGCGTTTGTGTATGCCAATAAGTAGGATTTTTGGAAGATAAAATGGAATAACTATAGGCGGATGTGACACGGGAAAGAATCCTACTACAAGTATTGGGCGTTCGGCATCTCCCCCAGTAATCTCGGAATAAGAAATCAAGATGGTTGAAGGAATGGGAGTCACAAGGCGGGCAGTATACAGCTGATAATGTTATGTTTGAAATAGAGGATAATATTATAGAGGTTGATTAAATAGTGTCTGTTGGGGTGGGAGGGACCAGGGAATGAGGTAAGGATACAAAAGCCTGCATGGGATGGATTATCTGGGTGATTTGATCTGTATGTGATGTAGTCACATATGTGAATATAGGTATGTGATGTAAAATGGATTTCAGTCACTAAGGCAATATATACGAAATTTTTGTGAAGGATGATGTCAACTTTGTCTCAATGGTTTTGTAGACCATTTTCATTCCACAATAGAATAACTGGGGTCTTTTTGCTCATCATGGGATATTGAACGGAATTTCTGAAAGGAGTCAGGTAAAGAGTGCGATGCAGTCCCTTTCCAGTTTACTGTAATGATATTTCTAGCTTTAGTCCACACTTCTCTATTAGCTGTATAGCTAAGGAGAGCGGTATCTATGTAAGCCTTCTCTATTGTGTTACAACCAGGAAAGTGTGCTAATGCCAGCTCTTTAAGAGTTTCATTCTCATTGGTGGTGTATTTACCATTGACCCTGAGTGTGCCCAGTATTTCTTGATCTTTCTGTTTAGAAAGTGTTATCTTAATCTGACATACCGTAGAAATGTTGTTTATTTCCTGCCAAAAGTTCCTCCAGGACGTCTTTAAGTCTGTAAGTACAGTCCAGTTGGTATCCCAATTGCCAGATTTTTTAGCAGCATTGAACAACCTTCTTGTAAGTGCCCTTTGCCTATCTAAATCTTTGTTCTACCAGGAAACTTTTCTGTTGGATACTTTAATTTGAATTTCATTACTGCTCCAGTAAGAGTTCTTGGTAGCATCTCTCAAAGATAAATGATGGAATTATAACTGTCAGGTATAGTGTAATAGTGTTATCGGACAAATCAAATCTGATATATTTATGGTCTGAGCATGTTTCTTCATCAAATACAGGCCAGTTTACCACTCTTGATATAACCTGGATAGAGGCCAGGGGTAGATCCATGTCTGATCTTAATTTATTACAGAAGGTAGTTTTTTTGCTCCTATATAGAAGATATCTAAATTATTATTAATAATATAATCTAGTAGGATCTAATCTCTCAGGTTATTATTGCTGCTGCCCCATAAAATGTTGTGGCATCCAGTCCCATCAGACTGCTTCCTTCAGTGGACTTGGAAATAAGGTCTAAGTCTTGAGCAGGATCTCCAGATTAATAGGGCAGAATGAGGGTTAAAAGAATTGAAAAAGTGTTTGCCAAATATTTGTGACTTTTCTTCATCGGATCTTGACCAGGTCTGTGATATAGTGAGGAGTGAATGGTTAAAGGGTTTTAAATTGAGTGGCTTTTTCGGGTTGGAAAAGATTTTGGACAGGCATATAAGAGATCAATTATTGACTTTAAATCCTTTACATTCAAATCAATTCGCTTACCAATCGGGTAAATCATGCAAAACGACGCTACACAATCTGGTCTCAAGGATCGAAAAATCCATGAGTCAGAAGGAAATAATGATTGGAAGTTTTGTAAATATTGAAGGTGCCTTCAATATTACTCCTTATAATACCATTATGGACACCTTCACGATGAAGAAAAAGGTGGTATATAAGACTACCCAAAATTAATGGCATCCAGATAACATCTAGTAAGGAGGTGAAACTAATTAGTTAATTACCTTAATTATCTTTTAAAGCAGTTTCCTCGAAAAGCTATCCTACTTGTCACCTATATATATATATATATATATATATATATATATATATAATATATATATATATATATATATATATATATATATATATATATATATATATATATATATATATATAATGCCACACCTAGATCCACCTATATTACTGATCATTGGAAATGTTTTCATGAACAAAAATGGGTAACCATCAGAATGCCTACACTGAATCGAACAGACATTTTTTTTTCTTCTGGCTAGCCAGTAGATATGCATACTGGCAGGCATCATAATTCAAACTCAGTACATGCCCTTTTTTAAAATCATTTCAGATTCTGTAAAATTAAGTTTAATCCATTTAACATGAAAGATGTTTTGAAAGACAACACATGATATCTTAATTTCTTTCTTTTAAGCTAACAGAATTATCACAAGTTTTCAGTTAAACACCGATTAAAGTAAATTAATTAACTTTTAAAAGTGAAGAAGAGTTAAACAAAATAATTATACAGTACCTATTTTTTTATATAGTGAGACTTAAAGGTTCAGGTTTAATACACAAAACATCCATACTACTTAACATCAGCGGAACTAACCAAATAATATCTTTAATTTCTTTCTAATTCTATTAATGATAACAGTATTTAGAGCCAAAACATTTCAATACAGGTTTACCTGGTGGAAATACTGTAATCTAGATGTTTTGATTCGCTAATAACTATCTAAAAAACAAAGATGGACAGGAGATAATTACTGAGCAGTTCCTGATAATAAAGATACTCTGCTCCAAGACTAAAGTTAGTTCAAAATTTGATTGTATTTTTTAATGTTTAAACAATTTAAGGTAGGAATGAACCAAAAACAGATATTTTATTTTTAAATTACATGTTAGAGTGCTACCAGTGGGTAGTTTCTCAACAAGCGTGTTTCATGTAATAATATTTCTCTGTACAAATTTACTTGATGTATTCATACTAATACAGCTGTAAATATCATAATAAAAGTTTTAAAAAAAAATTACATGTAAATACATAATCATGTATTTACATGTAATTTAAAAAAGACTTCAGTCTTCAATATTTTAAAAATACAGGTCTTATTTTTATAAGTAAGGTATATTTTAATATATTTCTTTTAATGCAACAATATTGTTGATGCAAGTTAATAAGTTACAAAAACTTGACTTAAGAAAAGAATTAAACCCCTTCATTAAAACTGGAGCAAATTTTTCTTATAACTGTATGTTTACCCTAAATAAAGAAAATTACGAAGAACAGTAAATAACTTTTTAAAATATTTAACACTAAGGTAGCATAATTTTAATTAAAATAATTCCAGCAAACTATAAAGTTTTTGTTGTAATTGTAATTGATTACCTGAGAAATATTTTATATAACTTATTTTAATCATTAATTAGTTAAATAAATTAAACATCCAAAACTTTTATTCACAATGACTTACAAGTTTTAACTTAAGCAATTACAGGATGAAATAATTGTTGAAATAAGTAACATTAAAATTGGAAGCCAAAAGAGACATGAATTATCAAATAAAAAATATATATGAACCATACCCAGTATTATTTCAGGAGCTCTGTAATATCTGCTTTGCAAATAAGTATTGCAAACAGCCTTAGAGACATGTGAGGCGCTTCCAAAATCTATCACTTTAACTCTATATGGTTGTCTAACAGGATCCACGAGCATAATGTTTTCAGGTTTAAGGTCAGCGTGTATTAATCCCAATTGCTGAAACACAAAAAAAAATCGTGAATAATTAATGATTTTTTTTAATAAACAGAAATTAGATTAGCCCCTCAAAAGTCCTATTAAATGGTATCATCAAAGACAAACTCTATTTTCTTTTAAATTAAATGTTGTTTATTTAACAGTAATGCAATTGTTAATTACTCAAACTTAACATTTCTTTAGTTATCACATCCTATTCAACAAAAAACATGTCTTACTTAAAAAAACTCAAAACTTAAATTTTCTTTTTTGCCTAAAATCGGACTAACCTTTATAAATACTACATTTTTGTAGCTCTTGAGGTCTGCTATCACTCCTAGAAATATTTCCCTCAACTTACGGGATACTCTGTATACACATACACAAAAGTCTTTCTTAGACTAAGAATGAGTCTATAACTATTTCTATGATCTAAATGTCAGGAAATTTTAGCTCTTTTGTTTTTTCTCCATAACTAGAGATATACCCACAATTATTTTCTTTTTTGTTACATACTAGAAATTAAAAAAAAATTGAGAGAACCATCATAGAAAATTGCTATTAAATATATAAAATCTATTACAGAATAATTGAGACAAGAGTATCCAATAATCGGCTCAGAAAAAAACTGCTCCAGGGGTCAGTGAAGACCCTATTTTTAGTATTAGAAAAATAATTAAGAAGGCTGTTGAGAAGGGTAAAGACTTTCTGAGTCTCCTTGGGTATATTCAAAAGACTTTTGACAGTGAGAAAATAATAAATAAAGCAGGTTGCCTGAGAGAGGTATTGATTGAAGAATGACTTTGGTCATAATGAGTCTGTATAATAACACCAGGAATGTGGTTAGGACAAGGAACTACATATCATAAGAATTTTAGACTAAATTAGGTATCCATCCAATATAAGGTTTTAGTTTAAATCTGCTACTCTACTTAGTAGTCTTGGATCTGGTAGTAAGAAAACAAAACTACAACAAATGAAGAAGTTTCAGTTAGAACAAAGAAACCTAAAATCCTCAATTTTATCATTCCCAGATGATCTTTTCCTGCTAGCTGCTTAAGACCAAGATGTCCAATACAAAATTAACATCCTTCAAGAATAAAGAACAATGAAAATGGTTTTATTGATATGGCAGTGGCTAGCGAGAATTGGAACAGCTGGAAGATTATTCTGTTTGTTAAGGAAGTTTTTTCCTCAGTAAAATAGATGTGATAAAGAAAACTAAAGTGCATATCTATAAATAAACATTTCCCTCTATCTTCCCAAACTCTTCCGAACTTTAGACTCTTGCCTCAAAAAGCACGAGTCGGATTCGATTCATGGATATGCATTACCTTAGATCAATGTAAGTAAAGGTTCGACAAGATAGTTATAACAGTCAAGGAGCAGAAATTAACATAGTTTGGATACCTCCTTAGGATGGATAATGAGTGAAACATCAGAAAGAGCTACAGGACAATGTGAGATAGACCTATGAGACAATCTCAGGCAGGAAGAGCTAAAAGATATTTTATATGATTTAAATTTTCATTTTCTACAATTAAGGAATACAAATGGCAATCTGAGTTATTCTTTTTTTATTTATTTTCCTAATACTTATTATTACTAAACCATTGAGAGATAGAGAACTCTACTTCATCATGACCCATATGGATCTTCTAATATATATACAAATATTAATACTTTTTGTTCCACTCCTATTCTAGAAATATATCACTATGACTATTATAAATGCTTGCCTGTCACCAATTTTATTCAAGTTAATCCTTCAAAAGATAACTCACTAAGTAATAACTGAAGCATTAATAATGGCATAAAAGTCAATTTATTAGCATATGCAGATGATTTTTTGTCCTCAGAAAAAATAGAGATTCCCATCGGGCTACTCTAGATTCTCAAGGTCTATGGTCTCCAGAGTTTAGCAAAGTAAGGAATAAAATAGGTAAACTAGGATCCAATAAACCACACTGTTAAGGCCGCACATACTTTTATTTTTTTTTTTTTCTCACCAACTCAGTCTTTTGAATGCTAATTTATAAATATTTATTTATTTTTTCTTTGTAAAAGGTTGAGGGATAATTGTCCCAGAAACCTATTTAAAAGTATATTATTCACATTGTCTTTATTTCGCGATGTATTATCGCGTTTGTATGTACACACCAGCAGTAATACTGAGTCTTAAGGATTAAGACATCAATTCATCTTTAACAATTAGAAACTCATATTTGAGAAGTAATGATATCAAAACCAGGATATCCAGAAGGGTATCCTGGTGGAACAAGGACTTAGAGAGGCAAAGAACACGCACTGGAAGGTTGTTCAATGCCGCAAAAAAAACATGGCAACTTAGAGGTTTACAGGACCGCCCTCACTGAATATCATAAATCTGTGAGGAAAGCTAAAAGACAGTTCTGGAGGAACTTCTGCCAAGAAATCGATAGCACTCCAATGGCAAGTAGGATAAAAAAATACTTACGAAACAGAAAGACCAAGGAATACTGGGTACACTCAGGGTTAATGGCAAATATACTATTAATGAGCTGTAAACCCTGAGAGAACTAGCAATAGTACACTTTCCTGGATGTGAGACCATGGAAATTGCCTGTATAGATACTACAATCCCTAGGGATCCAGCTAATCAAGAGGGCTGCATTAAAGCTAGAAAAATTATTACAGTGAACAGACTGGAATGGGCTGTAAACACATTGTCTCCCTACAAATCGGCTGGTTTGGATGAGATCCTACCAGAACTGATTCAGAAAGGACTTTTAGCAATTAAACCCTATCTCCTAGAGTTACTGAGGGGCAGTACGGCGCTTGGTTACATTCCCTCAGAATGGAGAGGATCTTAACTGTGCTATATACCAAAACCTGGAAAAGGAACATATGATGATACTAAGTCTTTCAGGCCAATATGCATGTCATCTTTTCTGATGAAGGCATTGGAGAAGATTCTCGACAGGCATATAAGAGAGCAATTAGTGAATGCGAATCCGACACACTCCAATCAATTCGCTTATCAACCAGGTAAATCTTGCGAAGCTGCACTACACAATGTGGTATCAAGGATTGAAAAATCCATGAATCAGAAGGAAATAATTATTGGTACTTTTGTTGACATAGAAGGTGCCTTCGATAGAACTCCTTAAGAAACTATCATGCATACTCTAAGGACAAGAAAAATAGATCCACTTATCACCAAATGGATTGGTAACATGTTGGATACACAAATTCTTAAAACTGAACTAGGAAACACCGTAATGTGGACTGAACATGGAGGAGGTTGTCCAAAGGGAGGTGTGCTCTCTCCATTACTGTGGTGCTTGGTGGTGGACTCCTTGCTCTTAAAACTAAACACTGCAGGCTTTTATGCACAAGGATAAGCGGATGATATCCTTAATGGTGAAATTTTCAGAATATTCTTTCTGATCTGTTAAGAAATACGACAAGAGTCTTGGAGGGATGGTGCCAGTTTAGTGGACTTAGTGTCAACCCGGCCAAAATAAATGTTTGTATCTTTACAAAGAAAAAAAAGGTAGAAGTAAGACTACCTAAAATAAATAACATCCAGCTAACAGAAAGTAAGGAGGTAAAACATCTAGGTGTTATGCTGGACAATAAAATGATGTGGAATAAACATGTAGAGTACACAACTAAAAAATCCAAAGTAGGGAAGGTATGGGGACTTAAACCTCGGATGGTCTACTGGTTGTATGTTGCAACAGACAGACCTATGCTTCTATATTCAACTGTTGTATGGTGGCATAAGGCAAGAGTTGGTCGCAAGATACAATTGGAAAAAGTACAGAGATTAGCCTGTTTAATGATAACGGGCGCAATGAAAACTACTCCAACTGCAGCCATGGAGACAATGTTAGGTATCTTACCACTGCAATTGTGGAGATTGAAAAGCAGGCCATGAAAACTTTTTACAGGCTAAAGAAATTAAAATTATGCTCAAAGATAAATACACAGGAGGGACATTATGGAATAATTAAAAAAATTGAGGCTGACAGACTGCTTACAATGCATTTTGACACTCAAACCCGAGAATTTCTCACAAAGATGTATAATGTTAAAACAGACAGCTCAGGTAAACATAAGCCCGTTAATGGGATCAACTGTTATACTGATGGGTAACTTATGACATGCGGATCTGGAGCTGGTTTCTGGAGAAGGGACGAACCAGAGGCGGGCATGTCAATAGCACTTGGAAATTACGCAACAATGTTTCAATCTGAAATACTGGCAATAACTCACTGTGCTTCAAAAATGCTGCTAGACGGGTTAGTTGGGAGGAGAATAGCAATATATACGGACAGTCAAGCGGCCTTACGAGCACTTGACAACTATACACCTAGATCCAAGGTAGTTGGGGATTGTGTTAGAATTGTCAACAAATTATCTAGACTTAATAAAGTATACATTGAATGGATTCCGGGTCACTCGGGAATTCATGGTAATGAAATGGCTGATGAACTAGCCAGACAAGGCTCTCAAACGACACCAATAGCTCCGGAACCCATCTGTGGTATTAGTCAGTGTCTGACAACAAACAGAATCGGGGAGATATATGGTGCTGAAAACAAAAGGAACTGGTCATTGAAAAAGCAGACCCACTCTAGACTGTTTCTGGAAGGAATCTGCCAAAAAAGAACTAACTTACTAATAAATTTGAGCAGGAGCTCACTTCAGAAAATTACAGCAGCATATACAGGGCACTGTAAACTGAATTATCATATATTCAAACTCCGGCTCACAGAGTTGTCTCTTTGTAGGTACTGTGGCCGGGAGGATGAGACAGCGTATTATGTCACCTGCTGGTGCGATGTGTTTGCTGGCCTAAGATTTCATTTATTCGGCACTGATAGGGAAAAGGATCCCAAGGCAAACGAACTTATCAATCCAATAAGCTTATTACAGTTCATAGAGACTGCAGGAATTACACTCTAACTGAAGTGACTTCAAACTAGGCGTACAATAGGCATACATGGACGTAGTGCACTCATGCCGCGGGAAAAAAAAGAAGAAAAAAAAAAAAGACATCAATTGTTTAACGTCTGATCTATGCATACTGAAGATCAGTTCTTCCCCCACCATCACAACGGCTGCTCCAGGCTCAATCTTATCGGCCTGCCACCATTTTTGAGAGGTACGCTGATCGGCACATCAGAAGTCAGGAGCGAGCTTTTCTGGATATAGGGTCTGTGCTAAGCAGATCCCCCCACACCACCAGCTGCTCTGTCTCAATCACCCCACTAGCATAATATAGCCCCATCTTGATGAGTATCACAGCTGTTCGCGGTCATTAATCGAGATCGATAACCCCCACCATCGACTGCTTGACATCCCATCCGACTGAGGTAACCTCATTGGGAGTAGAGTAGTAGATCAACCTCTCACTTGGATTTTCTTCTCTCCACCATCATAGAAATACATTTTAATATTAATTTGTTTTTTTTTTCTCTTAATTTCAATCACTAATTTTAGAAGTTTATTTTTTATTAATGATGGACAATTTTTTTATTTTCATTGAGTATTGTATTTTATGTTTTGTTTTATTTCAGTGAACTTTTGTACTATTGTCTCATTTGGTTTTGGTTTTAACTTTATATATATATATATATATATATATATATATATATATATATATGTTTTTTATTCAATAAATAGTGTGAACATTAAAAAGGATGATTATTTATTTATTTTCTATCTGTGAATATTTGTATTTAATATTTTGTCGTGCATGCATTTTTCATGTTTTAAAGGTCTCATTTTTTACTAATTTTTACCTATGTTCTCTTCATTTTAATTTTACTCATATTTCCCAACATTGAGGAAACTCACCGGGGGTTTGTATTTTAGCCACGTATACCTCTGGCCCCAACACCCACATATTTACAAAATAAAATATTTAATAATAATAAATAAAAACATTATAACAAGAGTGCAATAAACAGACTAAAAAGTTATAATTAATAATTTCATACCTTTAGTTTTAGCAGTGCAGTGAGCACCTGTTGAAGAATGGGTCTTATATATTTCAGAGGCAATGGACTAAATTTATTTTGTTTCAAAAAGTCATATAAATTTTGTTCTAGCATTTCAAAAACAAGACAGGTATGGTTTTTATGTTGGAAGCACTCGTAAGCTCTGACAAAATTAAATTCATCGGCATTTTCTTGGCTTAGGCGTGACAATATGCTAACCTGTAATAATAATAAAATTTTAAAAACTACTAAATATATCACTTAAGACAAGATAACTTTTGAATAATGACAAACAGCAAGACCATTAAATTACAATATCCCACGTATACTACAACCTACCTCAATTTGTCCTTGTCTAGCATAAGATGGGTGATTTTTAAGAATTTTGATGGCTACTATTTCATTTGTCCCTTTTTTCCAACATTTAACAACCTGGGAATAAAACCATAGTAATAATCAAAAAGGAAAACTTTTACATGTAATATATTCAACTTCATTAATAGATTATAGATCACACTCCCTAAAGGTTAATTTCAACATATAAATATAATTACACTTAAATTAAAACAATACCAACTAAAAAAAAATAGAGACTTTTTAGTCAACTACTTATATTGATTTTTCAAACAAAATTACATGAACATAAAAACATATTTATTAACATTTTGGTTAATCAATGTTGAGAGCATTTATGAATGAATTTTTGGCACAGCCAATAATTTGATCAAAATCAGAAATATTTGTTAATACATACATCTAAATCCTTTAAATTCAACGAGAATAGAATTATTGTAACAAGGCTTTTTGTGAATCACTAAGCTTAATGAATCAACTACTCATCTGGTTTATTTTTAAATTATAAAATTACAGAAATACTCCACTTATTTTTAGAAAAGGTTCGTTTACAGACAAACTGATAGTTTATATATAGTTCAACTGCTAGTTTTATTTGTTTTCCCTTTCTCAATAAGTCAAAAGGTGGAACAATTTCAGAAACAGAAAACACAGGTACCGATAGAAGAAACAGATAACGTGTTCACATCAAAATAGAAGCATAACTGATTTGTAATGAAAAATACACATAAGCACAAAAACATAAGTTAGTAAAAAAATCCTCCCCTACTAAGCAAAAACCTTATTCAGTAATCCCAAATGTTGCATATAGAAGTGGTAATCCTGCCCATATAATTGCTGCCATGGTCTTTTTTTTAGGAGCAGAATTCAAAACATACATTCAGTGCCAGGGTCAATTGTAGAAAATATTCTAATAGGACAATGGACACTAATACAGATTGGGTCTGAATATCTTTTTGTTAACTAATTAAATAAGTCCCAGATTTCGGGCAGTTTAATTGAGCAGTGTGTTGGCATAAAGATTAGGCTATGATAAGAAAGGCTCATAACAATGGATATATGTACACAGCAGCTTATAGACAACAATTAAAAGAATAAAAAACTTGCTTCTTAATTTCAAGAATGCAGAGTAGTTGATATCAGAATGATCATGAATAAAAAGAAAGCACTGAGTTATAAATAAAAAGTATAAGGTTAATTATGAAAAAAAATATTTACCTGACCAAAGGTTCCTCTTCCTAAAAATTCTAGTACTTCATACTGTGTTGTCATAGAATAAAGCACTTCATGTTGAACAAGTTGGTAATCTCCATCAGGGGTGGCGGAGTGGGATGGCCCACCCCCACCCCCACCACCTCCCTTTCCACCTGCCGTTGCGTCTCCACTTGATATCCCTTCCACACGATCACCATTACCCTCACAGGACTTTCGCTAAAAATTATAACATTATAAATTAATTTGTAAAACAGATACTAAATTAATTTATTATCTTTTATTAATTGATAAACATTGATTGAATCTTATTTAGAACACAAAAATATAAATAAATTAAAAAAAATTCAGGGACATTTAGAGGTTTGGCATCCAGGAGTTAAGTATTTGACTATTTGTAGATGAAAAATGTTTTGAGTTTAAAAAATTGAAATTATCCTCTATATGTGTTGTGCATACCAGTGTTGGGCGTTATTCGAATAAATTATTTGAAATTTTATCTAGATAACGAATAATAGATAAATTTTTATTGGACGACCTTTAGACAGATAATTATTTGTTATTTACAAATAATATTCATTATCTATTATCTATTATTCGTTATTTAAGATAAATACAATTCGACTTATTTTTTTTGTAATTTTAAGGATTTCTTCTATATTTAGGTCTGTTTATATATATTTAGGGGCAGTGTTTATGTGTTTATGAAAATGGTCTCCAGCATTTAGAAGTAGCGCCCTCCCCCCGCCCCTGGGCATAGACTTTTTTAACTTTTCAGATTAAATCGATATAAGGGTCGAGAAATATGTATTGGGGGGCGTTTTTTTTATGAAAATACTGTCAGATTTGAGATAAATTGAAATATAAAACATTCTATGCCTCTAATTTGTTAAATGATGGATTCAATTACTTTGAAGAGAAAAAGTAAAATAAATCTGAGTAAATTTGAAAATGCAATGTAATCTCGAGGTGTGCCGATTACTTTTTCAATTATTAGGTTGAGTCCTGATTGAAGTACTCAATACTCGAACCGCGCTAGTATTTGAACGAAATACTCTGTAAGTGTAATTTTTAGTCTTAGTACTTTTTGCTTACCTCTAATCTTTAATCAGCCGGTATTTTCATAAAAAGCACCTCCGAAAATATAATAGTCGACCCTCATATCGATTAAATCCGAAAAAAGGCAAAAAGTTGATGCCCGGGGGCGCAATCTCAAATCCGACAGTATTTAAAAAAAAAAGCGCCACCCAATACATAATAGCCAACGCTGATATCGATTAAATCCGAAAAGTTTAAATCAAAAGATAATAGATAACTTGAATTTATTTATTATATAGATAAAAGATAAACAGAATTATTAGTTATATGTAGTTGAAAGTTCGAATAAATTATTGGTTATCTATTATATTTTATTTAAGATAAATTTTGCCCGACACTGGTGCATACTGAACATACATATTTATTTACTAGATATTTTTTACTCATGAACTTTATGGAACAAAAATTCGTTAAAGGAGTTCAATTTTTGGTTTGTTAGAAAATGGAAATCAACATATCCTACCAGTTACAAAAAAACTTATTCACTGATAAATACAAATAAGTATATTAGCGAGGGTTCACAAAAGTAGAAATATTAAAATATTTCAAGAATAATTTAGCTGTCTTATCAAAATTATTTATAATTGTTTTATAGATTCTAATTTTTAAGTTTCGGGACAAGAGGCGCGAACTAAGTAGTTTTGTCACAGAAAAATAACAAGCGTTTCCCGCCTTCAGTCTAACCTTAATTTCTTCTTCAATTTCGTTTTTTCTAGTTATCGTAGAACCTAGATACCTAAACTTATCTACCTGTTCAAACATATTACCATCTATATCGATATCACCAGTAGTATCGCCATTTTTGCAGCTAACGTTTTATCCACGTTTATTTCGAGTTCTTTACCGGCTTTCATTAACGTTGTCGTATTTAGTTTTATAGTTTCAAGGTCTTCGCTTAACAGTACCAGATCGTCCGCATAGCCCAGCACGGATGTTGTCCCACCCAGATCCAACCCTTTCTCGGTAAGCATTACCTCCCTAATGGCATGTTCTAATGCCAAATTGAACAGGACAGGCGAAAGGGAATCCCCCTGTTTTAAACCCGAACGAACCTCAAATGTTTCGGACAGATTATTACCGATTCTAACTTTATTGAGTGTTTCCGTCAAGCACATCCTGACTAGATTTACTAATTTTTTAGGAATCCCCTGCTCGATTAGAATATTATACAGTTTCGGGCGGTCAATAGAATCGTAAGCCTTTTGAAAATCTATATATAGCTGGTGAAGAATACCGTTGTACTCCAATTTTTTCTCTAATATTTGCCGTAAAGAAAATATTTGATCAATAGTCGAACGATTCCGTCTAAATCCGCATTGGTAGTCTCCGATAATTTCCTCGACGTATTCCGTTATTCGACTGGTTAAGATTAAGGTGAATATTTTATAACAAACCGGAAGGAGTGAAATTCCTCGATAGTTATTACAATCCATTGGGAAAACTTGTATACTTATAGTAATGATCAGGGACAAAAATGTCTAAGGCCGGCACTGCCTACGATGTTCAGATTTTGGCAACTTACGATAAAATAAATAGAACTATTTGTTTCAAGGTTCTCTTTATACTTTATACGGGCTAGATCAGAATAGATATTGGTAATGATAAAAATACTTATTTACAATTAAATAGCAAAAATTAATAAAATAGGGACATTTTAGAACTAGTATTACTTACCTTCTGTCCGCACCGTTGGTAAGTATCTAGTAATTTTATTGTTGAGGCATGTATGAAATTATGCGACAAATGAGGCACATTATTTGGACTTTTATGAGCATTTTGTACATTACGAAAAACCCTTGTGTTTGTCTGATAATGTGATTCCTGCAAGGAATAACTGGAGTCACTCAAATCAAGCTTGCGTTTTTTCTGCAAAGATCCGCTAATAAATTCAATACCACCTTGGGATTGGCAGAACATGTCACCCTATAAAACAACATAAAAAACTTAGTAACTTTAAAATGATGAAATAATGATATATTATTTCTACTTAAAATGAAGTAAACAGGTATAATTAAAGTAACTAAATTGCTTTGTCCATATAACATATTTTTAGAATAGACAGACTGCATACCGGAGACCGGAATAAAAACAAAACTGAAAATCTGATAATTAACCAAAAATAATAGATTCTCAGAAAAATCATATTTCAAGCTCTATAAAACTATACACTGAAACATATTATTCATTATGTACCAATAATGTATACTCCACAAACTGAAATATATCATAATTAAGTAAAACTATGAATGGATAAACTGTAAGGGGTTTAGTGCTCTCCAGCAATGGTCTGATACCAGTACCCACTGTGGGAGCTACTGCCAAATTTGGTCTCTCAATATCCAAAGTCCAGAAACCTGTGCTGCTGAACACCACACGGATTGTAAGGTGCTTCCTTAATACAAAGTAGATTTATAAATAGCACAAACTGACTTGAAGTGGTAGGAGTGGATTTTTCCCCACTCCAGGAAAATACCTTTTTTAAAGTGTTAAAAGCAAATAATAATAGCTGCTGAGAAATTAAATTATATTGTACATAGCAATTCACAAGATAATGTATACTATTATGTTAATGGACAAAAACTCAAATCTTGTAGCTGAACTAAAAATGCTATTACTAATGAGGAACTGATAAATGATAGATATACTAAGCAGCTACCATAGGTTTTGCAATACCTTGAATTCAACAATTATTAGTCTTTCTGCATCAGGTGCATGGTTTTGAAAAGAAAAACTTCTCCTGGAAACACAGGGTTTTCTTTTTTGCTTTACAAGACCAAGTAATGGCAAACTAACTCATACCGCAAGTACGTATTTAACCAAGATGTTAGTGATAAATGCAGACTTAGTAAAGTAGTAACTGAGTCCGTTTAGCATATCACAATAGGATGCATGATATTAGCAAGAAAAAAAAAATACCTAGAAAGGCATAACAACTTGGCAAAAGTTATTCACCAAAATCAAATATAATAAATTTATCAAGAGATATCCAAGTCTTATTATCAGTAACCCCATAGTATATTCTCTCTGATAATGAAACCACCATCTGTTTGGGGTAATGAAACCACCATCTGTTTGGATCAGCCTATAATTACGTATTATACAGTACTAAACAATAAACCTGATATTCTGATAATATGGAAAATGGAAAAGATATATAAATGATAATGTACTTTATCATTAAGTGTTCAGAGAGAAGGTGAGAAAATATCAACAGCTCTGCGAGGAACTGAAGCAACTAAACTACTTTAAAGAAGGATAAGTGTTGCCTTTCAACATATCCAGCAATGGATTAGTCCCAGAGGAAACTATTAGGAGTTATAAGGAATTGAGACTTCCCGATTATATCCAGGAAGGACAAAAAGCTGTGCTACTAGAGACAGCCAATATCATTGGAAAATTTTAAATATTGCATAAACAGAGCCTAATCCTTGACTCATCACTGACTGAGGAGGTGAAAATTCTGAAATACTAATAATAAATCTGTCGAGGAATATATCAAGGAATCAAGAGTATATCAAAAATATTTTACTTAGAGATTTCAACAGCTACAATTCAGAAAGCCCTACCACATTACTTATTGTTACCAGATATCCCAAACCACTTATTAAACATAACATCTTAAAATCCGAAAAAGATAGGACTAGATCCCCGACACACTCCTTAAATTATAATCACACTCTTGACATTATTATCTATGGAAAAGTCGTAATAACAACATAATTATTAAAAATAAATTGAACAAAATCAAAACTTGTGCATCAAAAATTTTTGCTATAGGAAACATTAATTCCCCAAATTAGTTAATTTTTTTTTAAATTACAAAATAAATTAATCAACGACACATTAATCGAACTAACTGACAAACAAGAAATGTAAACAAAAAAAAAATCAGAAATTTATCATGATCTCAAATTAGCCAAGCATCAAGGCTAAGACAGAATATACTCCACCAAAACTTACAATTGGCGAAATAAGAAACAAACAATTCAAGATTATATAAAAACTGTACCTCTTGTCAAAAGAATAATACAAACTTCAAAACAAACAAAAATCCTATGATTTTCACTTCTACATCAACTTCTTTTTATGAACAAATTGCCCTAGACATTGTAGGACTATTACCTGAAACAGAAAACATTAATCGAATCATTCTTTCACAATAAGACTACCTCATAAAATCCTACAATTGTACGCAATTCTTGAACAGAATGCTATGTTGCATAACGGTTCCTTAAATTTTGCACACAACTCAATTTTCGAGAAAATATTCTTTCCAATCAAGGATCAGAATTTAACATAGCAACACTCAATGAATTAAATAAAATTCTCAACAGAATTCATAAATAGTCAAGACCTTACCATCTTTAAACAAATGGATCTCTATAAAAAGTCCATCTCTTCCTAAAAGGATAGATACTTAAGAAGTAATGTCAACAACAACTAATAACTGAAAGGAATTATTTATTATACTTTGTTCTCTTACAAAGACCATATTCAATGACCAACAAACATAACTCCTTATCAATTAGTTTTCAAACAATTACATTAAATATCAGACAAGGTCAACAATCCTAAACCACAAAGACTTGTTAAAAAAAAACCTGTACCACTACAACCCATGAAGGGTCTTGGGTTCAGAACAATTTAGGGAAAGTACTGTTTCTTGGTCAACCATTGTGCAAGAAAGTAATTTAGACCGAGATCATGCTCATCCACTATGTTTTCTACCTTAACTAAATTATTTTTAATTAAGGGTATTCACTTTATAGAGGCTGGGTGGGTGTGCCCCAGGGTCACCCCACAGCAGATGAAACAGAATAAATTATTTTTCTGCCATGAGTCGGGATTCGAACCTGGGACCTTGAGCTTCAGAAACTCAGTACCCTACTACAAGAGATGGGCAAATGACAAAGAGAGTAATGAGTCCCAAGTATTTTATTCAAATATTGACCTTCAGATTCTGATTGCGCTACTCAGATATTTATTTTGCCTGAGTCTGAGTATTTTACTCAAACGTTGAACTGCCCAACTTTGAGTATTTTATTCAAATAACTGACCTGTGCCACTTTGAGTACTTTATTCACGGCCTATTATAAATTATAGTTTCAAGTATCATATGCCTATAGTTAAATATAAAAATTATAATAATAGATGTGCCATTGTTTTCATTACATAAATATTGTTAAATATAGACTTTTAATTGTTTAACTCACTACTAATTACAAATTTCCAATTTTATTTTTAAATAATATCGACATTATGATCCCTTTATACTTTATACAACTATTTAAAATTTTCAAATACAGTTTAATAATATGTTTTTAAGAGTTGGTTTTTTAAGATGTCTATTTTGAGATTACAGCACTGCGTTTCGACTTATTGGAGTTTTTCGGATTTCTTTCATATGAGTGTCTACTTATATGTTTTCGAAGCCGTAGTTTTTGAAAATTATGTCCCTTTTAATATTACGTCACTGCGTTATGACTTATTTGAGTTTGAGTTTGAGTTGACCCATACGGTAAATCACTCATTTTTGGAACCTGTGGCTTAGCATTATTTTAGTGGTATGTAACGCATTTATAAATCCGGACGAGTCTTCTCAGAGAAGGGATCCAAAATTGGCGATGAATGAACGTCTGGACCAACAGGGGCCCACCATGCAAGGAATATCTGTGGTAATGGTCATACAAAAGGACTACTAAATGTGAATCTTTAAGTATCAGCAGCAGGTGCTTACTTTTTTCTTTGATTGTGGAATACTTCAATCTACCTCCCACCCTGAGAGCTCCGTCCTTATCCAAAAATAGTGTGAGCCTGTTTAAGGAACCCTTATATGGTTTGCCACCGTTAAGGCAATCAAATTAATTCAGTGAAGAATTCCTCTGAATGAGTCTGACATAAATTATCAAAGAATCCTTAAGATTGTCAGCAGTCAAGGCTACAGCAGCCAAACACTGTGATCCCGATCTAGAAAACATTTAATAAATTTTAAAATGAAAGCAAAAACCCTTTGCAGCTTAAAAGGCTCGAGTATTTTTCCAGGCAAATCAACAAATCATAAGATTTTTTAGCCACTAACAGAGATATTGTTTTTACTTCAGGCAGAACAGATGGAGGTTCAATATGGTAAATAGACCAGTCAGAAGGAGGTAACTAGTAAATGCAGGGCCCTTCCAATAAAGATCATGGGAAAGTATCTGGTGTTGTGTGAGGCCTCTCGATAAACAATCGGCTGGATTCTGTTTTGTAGGAATATAGAGCCACCAAGTGGGTTTTCTTATTTCTAAAATCTGTACTACACAATTGGCAACATAAATCTTAAGTTTATGTGGGCGGTATCTGTAACCAATAGATTACGTTACGAGAACCCGAAAAACAATATGCTTCCATAATTCGCAAAACGACTTTTAGGTTTACCAATACACGCAAGTAATCTGGAGGCAAGAAGAGCAGTGTTTAATTCCAAACGAGGCACTGATTGAACCTTAAGTGGGGCCATTTTACTTTTTGCCCTTAACAAATGAATTTTGGTAGCTTCTTTTGGGCACGCAACTTTCAGGTAGATCATACACCCGTAAACCTTCTCGGAAGTGTCTGAAAAGGCGATTAATGGCATGGATGATGCGTTCTGGCTGACAATAAAACAAGGCAGGCAAACACACTAGAGGGCAACTCATCATCCCAATCAATTTTAAGCAGCCACAAACGTTGAATATGCATTACACAGAAAAAATTACTGGGACTGATATATCCATTGATATCGAAAATTTTGGCAATGAAGGATAGAATACCTCGCTTTGTAAAAATAGGCTCACTTTCCTGTATTGAATGCCAGAATTGATCGAGTTTAGGATCCCAAAACCTTGACAGTAGAGGAATCTCCATCTAGGCGCAACGGAACTTCTTGACTACCCTCGGGTTTAACAGCAAGTACTTTTTCGGAATTGCTGGAGAACTTTCTGAGTTCAAACGCACCTGCTAATAAGGCTATCAACTCATTATACAGTTCCAGAGCCTAATCACTATTGCGAGCACCAGTGATTAAGTTTTCTAGATAAATCTGGTCATGACACTGAGCAGCTTTAGGAAAATTATGTCTTTCTTCACGAAATAACTGCACAATGACTCTCTGAGCAATAAAGGGAGAACATTTCAATCCAAATGGCAAGGTAACCAACTCATACTCCTGGATTGACTGTGAAGATTCACTTCTCAAAAAAAAAAATAATAAGGTTTGATTAATTTTGACAATGCGAATACACCTAAACATCATTTTTATATCACATGTTAAGGCCACAGGAAAGCATCTAAAATGGTCTATAAGTTCCGCAATATCAGTATGGAGCTGCGGACCGGTCACAAGTAAATCATTCAATGAGTTTCCTCCTACCATGTTCTGCGAACTCTGAGGTGGACATGATCCAGTCTTACATATTCATCCATCTATGCAGCATAGACAGACATATACTCCAGATCTCTTATGAATCCATTTTCCAGATTTCTAAATCTGCGCAGAGCTATCTCTCTAGTGTCTGATTGGCAGATCAGAATGGAACAGAAGTGAAACAATGCATCAACCCTGGAGGTCATGAGTGCATATATTTATAAAGTGATCTTCGCAAAATGCATCTTCAAGATTCGGCGGAATTGAAACTGTGACTTCATCTGTCTCCCAAAATCGCTTGATTCCTCCTATAAGGAAGGGCTGGTCTGTGTGAAAAGAGTACGTACTGAAGGTATAGGGCTTTAGCTTTCTGAGAGGGTGTCTCCAAATAATATCCATCCTAATGAGGTATGACTAGCTTTTGGTTGACCCTTCAGAAATAAAACAGGGTCACTTTAAACCTCACCGTACATCTCAGCACCCATTTTTCTCTTTGATGCATTGTTTAGGAGTTATAGATGAAAAACCCAAAAAATATCGAAAAAATCTGACTTTTTTGGCTGTAAAAAGTTTTCCCTTGGTGGTCTGCATTAGCAATTTTGTTTTTTACATACCTAAACCCATATATACAAGTTAAAAAAATAGAAACTTTTCTCAGATTTTTCGCAATGGATTTCCCGTTTCGATCCTCAAATTATTGGCCTAATATTCTTTAAATCAGCCGCCATTTTTGAAAGCAGCGGCTCCGGAACGGCAGACCAGGTTTTTTTTACTCAGAATAACATAGACTTTCGTAATTTACAATCAAACCTTCGCCTGCGATCAGGTCGATTTTTGGGCCCTGGCTCCAGGGCTATCAAGTTCAATTGAAGCAAATCTATTCCGTACTTCTTGGGATACGGTAAACGAAGGCAAACTTCCACTGATGCAGGGCAATAACTGGCTGAAAATTCATATACATTGTTATTTCTCGTCGAACCAAACTTCACTTTAAACTCAGCTGAAGATGAAGACATGGAGGTATTACCTACTCCAGACACCACAAGAGGACTAACCCAGGAATAAAGGTGTAACGCTTTCATTAGATCAGGGGTAATTAAATTAATTTGGGAACCTGGATCTATCAACATTCTGCATGAATACCACTGACCTGAACTTGAACAAATACTACCTAAGGCAGTACCTAGAAGTACCTGTGAGTTGGTGGTAGCATGGCATGAAATTGCACAAGAATTGTTTGTTACTTGAGAGAGCTCAGTGTTTGTAGCCTTATGTAACATCGTATGGTGACTCTTTTTGCCACAAACTTGGTAACAGCCATTTCTTTGACATTTGGGCAAGATATGAGGTCCCGTACAAGAAAAGCACAAATAAGACATCTTTAGCAGGTCATAACAACCATTAACATTGGCATCCAGAAACTGAGGGCAGTTTATAATTGTATGGCTCGATTTACAGACTCAAAATTTTTATTGAGCCAAGACCCACAGTAAAGAGGCGAAGAGGATGTCCACTGAAAACTTGGATTGACAAACTGACCAAGCTCAGACAGAAAAGAGGCGAACAGTTGGGGGGAGAGACCTGGCAAAGGACCGTGATGACTGGCGTAAATGGGTGGAGGCCCCTCCACGCAGAAAGGCACTAAAGAGCAAGACAAAGAAGAAGAAGATTTACAGACTGGGCATTCTAATTTAAATTTCTGCTTATCCTATCCCATCTATTGCTGGTTAAAAATGTT